AATATCTATGACATAACATACATACCCGGAACCAAACCGCCTGAATGGGAATGGGTTATACGGTATGAATATATTTTAATTTAGTATTTTATTTGATTAGATTGTTTTTTAAATTTTAACATAAAATCTAATAATAATTTTCATATATATATAGAAATAATCAAAATAAATACTATGTATTGGCACGTATGATACTAGAGGACAATCACTATATACTGGTCCGATATACTAGTGGTATAAAATATAAACTAAATTATTTGAACTACGAGTCCACTAGTTTTTTTATTATCCAAATTGAAAATACATTTACTAAAAAAGGTAAATTTTTATATATATATAAAAAATTATTAATATATTATTTTTAATGAAATACTTTTATTTATTTTTGTTGTTTGTAAATCAATTTATTATAATAATAATAATATCAATAATATATATATATATATTTACTTTAAATTTTTTTATTGATAGTTGATTTGAATGTATTTTGCCGATCCTATAATCCCAAACAAACCTATAGTCTATTGGATATTGCCAAACATACCTTGATAAATTTACAAATTACTACAAATTTATCAACTTTATCAGCAGTCAGTGATAAACTAAAATCAAATATTGAATTAACTAATTGGAAAATTTTGCCAAAATATTTGCCAAAAATACCTAAAATCGAAACAATGATTACTCGGGTATTGTATTATTATTATATTTTTAATAAGAAAATTAAATGTTAATATATTTTGTTAATTAATTTATAATTTTTTTTATATATGTATATATTGTTTTCAATAATACAACTCCTCTACAGATGACAGGCCTATGGTATCGGGTGTACAGTTCACAATTGGCCGGTTCCTATAGCTATAACATAACATACATACCCCTAACACTACCGCCACAATTGAATTATGAAATACTGTAATGTATATTAAAAAAAATAAATTATTTGTCTATTGTTTAGCTATAGATTAAAATTAACTAATAGATTAGCAAATAAAATAAAATATATATATATATATAAATTATTATTATTGATCTAGATCAGGCGTTATCAGATTGATTATACGGTCCGTTTATTTTAAAAAACCTAATTAAATGACCAAGATAAAAAACAAACAAAAAATTATTTATACACAAAATTAAATAACTAATTTGAATATTATTACTATTAAATTAGATAAAATACTTAATCAAACAAATGAGTAATTAAAAAATTTATAAAAAAATATGTAATAGTGTATTTGAGCTAGATTAAATATATTTTTAAAAACACCATACGATTCTATAGTGCATTTTTATTTAAAAAAATTACCAAAAAAATTAGTTGAATGATATACACTGATCTAGATCATTTTTTGTGTGGACATTATTTAAAAAATAATGATTTATTTAATTTAATTTTTTTTTATTAATTAATTATATATATATTCTATCTATTTTTATCATTTTACTACTACTAAAAAAATACAATAGATTTGATAACAATATTTCATCATCATCACCAGTATCAGTTACTTTTAAGCTAAAAAATTTAATGGACAAACGATACCAAATGTTTCGCTTAGATAATGATCAACTAATTACATGCGATTATCTGAATTACGATACCGACATGTTTTATATAAGCAAAAAATTTTTAAATAACAATGGTTTGTATAAATAAATTTATATATACTGTATATATAGTATATAAATTAAAAAATATTTTATATTAATTAACTAATACATACTATATAATAGTTTTCATGTATTATAAAACTATTTGATACTAATAATACTAATTCAATGATACTATTGTTATTGTTTTTTTTAAATAGTTATTATTGATGTATATTCGCGATCAGCCAAACAAAACCAAACACTACTGGACATAGCTTACCGTACAATAGATAGGTTGGGTATCATCAATGTCAACCTATTGCCCATTAAACACACATATATAGCCAATAAGGGAATGTCTATCACAACTACCGGTACAACAACATCAACAACACCAGTGGCCGACCAGTTGCCAAAAAGACCGCCATTGCATACATATATCAATGAGGTATCAATTGGTATCAATAATAGTCGTTGTATTTATAATTGCAATATATATATACATACAGTATATACAGTATATGATATCTAATTATAAATTTAATTTATTTTCGCTTATTTAATACTATAATTACTATCAAAAATTAATTATTATTATTATTTATTTGATTTTTATATATATATATTTTTTTTGTTTAGATGACTGGACGCTGGTATCGGGTATTTGGATCCCACCAACAAAACAACAAAATCGGTTATCATATCTATGATATTACGTACATAACCGGCACATTACCGCCACAATTGGATTTTAATATAAAGTAATATTAAAAAAAATAATTATTACATCAATTAAAATTGACATAAATTATAAAATTATTTATTATTATTATTATATCAATAGAAAACTATTTGAGGACAAAAAAAATATATTATTTTTTGTTTTTAATAATTAACTAATATTTTTTGTATTTATATATTTTAAAGGACTGTTAATAATAACATATTATCCATACGTTTTGAAATCCAAATATTTGGCAAATTTATTAAATTAGTTAACATTGATAGTAATAGTAATCATACTAAACAACAACAATTAATATTTGATATATTAAATTACGAGTCTACTAGTTATTATATTATCAAATATTTTGACATTAATAATAATAATATAACTGGTTTGTACTGTTATTATAATTATTTAACTTTTAGTTATAAATTATTATAATTTTTTTATTTATTTATTTAGTTGATATCGACGTGTTTTCACGATTGGATAAACCAAACCTTAATCTACTGGGTATTGCCTATCGGACACTGGAAAAGTTGGGTATCAATAATAATACTAAACTATTGCCAGTCTATGCCAATAGACCAGACATAACACCACTGACCACTACTACTACTACACTTGTTTTGCCTAAACAACCGTCACTGCAAACAATGGCCAATTTGGTATTATTATTATATTACACACACATACACACATATACACACACATATACACACACATATACACACACATACACACACATACACACACATACACACACATACACACACACACACACACACATACACACACACACACACACACACACACACACACACATACACACACATACACACACATACACACACATACACACACATACACACACATACACACACATACACACACATACACACACATACACACACATACACACACATACACACACATACACACACATACACACACATACACACACATACACACACATACACACACATACACACACATACACACACATACACACACATACACACACATACACACACATACACACACATACACACACATACACACACATACACACACATACACACACATACACACACATACACACACATACACACACATACACACACATACACACACATACACACACACACACACATACACACACATACACACACATACACACACACATACACACACACACACACACCCTATACTAAACCTACTTAAATACTGTAGATGACTGGTTCCTGGCACTGGTTATACGGTACTGACCTAACTGGATATCAAACATTAACACTGGCCTATGTTAATAGTAAACAACCTTATCTAACTAGTATCATAAAGTACCGTAAATTACTTATTATATAGATATATAATTATTTTGTAATTAATAATTTTTTGTTTGCTTGTCTATCTATAGAACAATTGACAATAAATATATTACGGGTTTTATTTTGCCGAAACAAACTAATGAGGATTATTGTTATCAATTAGTTATCGATGATATCAGTGATGATAAACCTATTATTAATGAATTTAAAATTTTAAACTACAAAATTGATAGCTATATCATCATCAATTGGATATATAACAACAATAATATATGTTAGTTTATTTCATATACAGTATATTTATTGTTCACATATATAAATTGTATAAATAACATATATATATATATATCTATCTAATTCATATATAATTAGCATCTGTCGATGTGTTTGGCCGATCCAACAAACAAAATCAAACTATACTAAACATTGGCGACCAGACAGTAAAAAATTTGAATCTTAACTATACATTACTGCCCATCGATGACAACAACAAGGATAATGAAGATATAACTAACACCAACAACAATGTAAGGCCTAATATACAGTCTAATACTGATCAAGGATTGACAAAAACAACAACAACAACAACACCAATAAAAACAATAATAACTGAAAAAATAATTAAAAATAATTAAAGTTATATTTTTACATGTACTGTATTTATATATATTTATATATATATACATAAGATTTATTATTTTTTAAAAATAAATTTTTATAATCTATTATATTAGTATTTAGTTATTATTATTATTTATGTAAATTTATTTTTAAAGTATCTGAAAAACATTTTTTTAGATATAATATTTCTATTTAATCTTAATATTAGTTAATACTAAAAGTTTTATATATCTATATTTTTTTAGTTTTAAATTTCTTTTATTATTATTATATTTGAAATAAATATAAATAAAATTGTTTTTTTATTTACTTAAATAGATCGTATAAGTCATAGAATATAATTTAATTTATTATTTTTTTAATTTGAATATTTATTTTTAAATTTTATTACATTATTTTTTTAGATTTCATAATAATATTCAACACTTACACATATTTTTTTCAATAATATATAGTAATTTAATTGATTGCATAATAAAAGTTTTCATATTATATTAAAATATTAAAAATTAATATCAAACACCATTGCAAAAAATTAGACTTAATTAAAAACATTATTATTTTATTAATTACAGTAAACTTTATTTTTAATTTTTTTTATATATTTATACTTTAGTATCGAATATACTGTTTGAGTATTATATTATTATTTATAAATATATCAAATAAAAAATGTTTATAACAATAGTACTACTATTACTATTTATTACTATATTAGCTGAACAATTAATTTTTGTTAATACCAGTGCCGGCATATCAGCTGAACATAAAACTTTAGACAATTTAAATCAAGTAAGCAATCAATCAATGAATAAAATTAATTTATATAATATTATATAACACACACACACATAATAATAATAATCCAAAATAAATAATTAATAATAAAATATTTCTATATATAAACTTTATATTACAATCTCGTAAAAAAATAGTTGGACACTAGTTTTATCGTCTATCTATAGTGTATAAAGATAATGACCTAGGTCACCTAGGTCATTATCTTCATACACTATAGATAGGCTATAAAACTAGTGTATATACTATATACAACTCTATTGATTTGTAATGGCTCAGGTATGTTGGGGGAGGGGGTTGGGAGGTGCTATATCAGAGAAAAAATTAACTAAATAACATAGAGTAAAACTACTCACACCATGTTTTGTGTGTGTGTGTGTGTGTGTGTGTGTAAATAATTTTAAAATTATCATTTAATAATTATTTTTGTCAATTTAAAAAAACTAATTGTCTAGTAGTTTGTTCATAGATAACGTTCATAATATAAAGTTTGAATTAGTTAGATATTTCAAAATAGCCATATCAAATGTATCTTAGTATATATAATTAGATATAATTAATTTTTTGATAACCAAAAAAAACTTGAAATTTTCATTAGTATATTGTTTTTTGTTTAAATTTTTTATTTATTATTATTAGTTAACTGGGTTATGGTTAAGAGCCTATGGATCCGATAGCAATGATTGCCAATCAATTGAATTGCTAGCGACTAGTAATCCTAATAAATTTGATTTTATTGAATGGTAAATAAATGTATTTTTATTTTTATTATATTTAATTATTTTTGATTGATTGATATTGATCAAGATCAAATAATATAAAATTTAACATATTAATTTGATTAATTCGATCACTTATTTATTTATTTTTTATAAATTTTTTAAAATTTTTTTTAGGCAATCATATAAATGTGAATCAAATAATTCGTAAATATTTAATTTAATTTATTAAAAAAAATAATTTACTAACTATTACAAAAATATATATATCAATTAAAAAAACACAATTAACAAACTTTATATATATAATAATAACTAATTTTCGATTTATTACTATTGATATTAATATATACTGTATTTAGTGTACAATAGTTAAAAAAAAATATTTAATATTATTATTATTATTATTTTATATATAAATATATTATATCAAACCTATCAATTAAAAATTATTTATTACTATATATATATATATCATTAGACAACAATCTGATAAAAATACTAGAAGACAGGCCACTCTGTTGGACAATGGCATTATACTACTCAAACGTATTGATACAGGTGCTCACGAAACAGTAACTATAGTGGGCACCGATTTTAGCAGCTTTCTAATTATACGCCGAAGCTCATGTATGTTATTTTTAGTATATTATATAATATTGATTTAATTAGAGAGAGAGAGAGAGAGAGAGAGAGAGAGAATTATTTAATTTATAATTGAGTCCTTTAAGTCTGAAACCCAATTATAAACTTTTATCAAAAAAATAGTACTAATCCTTAAACTATTAAAAACAGTAAATATGTTAGACTTAGTATAAATTAGTCTAAATATTTTTAATAATTGGTTTCATACTTAAAGCCCATAGTTTTAAAAATAAAAAATTATTTTTAAAAAAAAAATCATAATAACATTCAAAAATATGTATATATGTTTTTCAAACTTCTAACTATTATTTATTATTATTATTATTATTTTTTTGGCTAAAAAAAATTTCATAGCCGCTATCGATACTTATATTAGACAATCACAGTATATGTTAGATAAAAGTCCGTTTGAGTTGTGCGCCCGTAGTAGTAGTAGTGGTAGTGGTGGTAGTGGTAGTACATCAATGACTGACCGCACTTGTATCAAATTGACACTCAGCTCCAATAGACATCAATGCAATTATCCGCCGCCAACCAATTCCGGCCAATCGGACGGTATATGTACTGTTGATGGCTATTCAAGTACTACTACTACTACTACTACTATTACTACCACTGCTAGTGCCACCACCACTACTAGTGCCACCACCACTACTAGTGCCACCACCACTACTAGTGCTACTACTACTACAATATCGACAACATCGGTAACAACACCTACAATACAGACAACAGTAGCGATAAAAACAAAAAAACCGCAAAAAGTTGATAAATTATTGAAATTAAGCGCTGATCCTGAAGTTGCTGTTAATGAAGTAACGCCCAGACCTACTATTGGACCCAATAGGATGTGCCTGAAAGATGTGCCCAATGCTATCAAATTGGATAATCTACAACAGGTAACACTATTTGTTTATATTTTTCTTGTTTAAGGGAACAGTATATTTATGTGTGTGAGAGGTGTGATAGGTGTGTGAGGGGTGTGAGGGGTGTGAGGGGTGTGAGGGGTGTGAGGGGTGTGAGGGGTGTGAGGGGTGTGAGGGGTGTGAGGGGTGTGAGGGGTGTGAGGGGTGTGAGGGGTGTGAGGGGTGTGAGGGGTGTGAGGGGTGTGAGGGGTGTGAGGGGTGTGAGGGGTGTGAGGGGTGTGAGGGGTGTGAGGGGTGTGAGGGGTGTGAGGGGTGTGAGGGGTGTGAGGGGTATGAGGGGTATGAGGGGTATGAGGGGTATGAGGGGTATGAGGGGTATGAGGGGTATGAGGGGTATGAGGGGTATGAGGGGTATGAGGGGTATGAGGGGTATGAGGGGTATGAGGGGTATGAGGGGTATGAGGGGTATGAGGGGTATGAGGGGTATGAGGGGTATGAGGGGTATGAGGGGTATGAGGGGTATGAGGGGTATGAGGGGTATGAGGGGTATGAGGGGTATGAGGGGTATGAGGGGTATGAGGGGTATGAGGGGTATGAGGGGTATGAGGGGTATGAGGGGTATGAGGGGTATGAGGGGTATGAGGGGTATGAGGGGTATGAGGGGTATGAGGGGTATGAGGGGTATGAGGGGTATGAGGGGTATGAGGGGTATGAGGGGTATGAGGGGTATGAGGGGTATGAGGGGTATGAGGGGTATGAGGGGTATGAGGGGTATGAGGGGTATGAGGGGTATGAGGGGTATGAGGGGTATGAGGGGTATGAGGGGTATGAGGGGTATGAGGGGTGTGAGGGGTTTGTGTGTGTTATGTGTAATTGATTTTTATTAAATTTGTTAAAAATCTTTAATTAATTAATTTTTGCTATATTTTACTTACATGATATATTTATTATAATCTATTATATATATATTGTTTATACGGGTACCCCACCCCACCCCACTGGTATAGTTGAACGGTAAATGGTATCAATTGTTTGCCACTTTCAAAAGTAACAAAATGTGTGCCCAAACCATATTTAGCCCGACTATCAACCAAACAGTGCTCAACTATATTGATTTGTATGTAATATTATAAAGATTTATTTGATATAATTTTTTCAATATATTTTATATATACAGATAATTTTTTGTTTTTTTTAATTATACTCTCTCTCTGTATATATAGCAACGATTGTGTCAAAACAAGTGTAGGTGCTCTAAGCCAAATGCCCGGTAATGACAGTCGACTTGCCCAAGCAAACGATAGATATGTAGCCAGCAATTGGATATTGAATACCGGTGCCGATACACTAAAAAACCATTTTCTGGAATACAGGTGCATTACAGCTGGTCAGGGTATACAAGGTTTGGCATACTATTCAATATAAAATTATATATATATATACATAAATATATATATATATATATATATATATATAGTATACAGATAATGCCAATTAAAAGTTTTAAATTTGACTAATTAATCGTGTACAGTTAACTTTACACTAAGCAAGGTAACTTAATAAACTAATACCTAATATTAGATAAGTTATATACAGTACCCTGGCTAATAGTATTATATAATATTACTAAAAAATTTTTAAAACTTTTAAGTGGCATAAACTGTGTATATATATATACAGTATATATATATATATATAATTAATATACTAAATCTAATATATTATTATTATTATTATTATTATTAGAAAGCTATCACATATATTCACGATCGTTGACAATCCCTGTGCAGCACATGTCTAGTATCAAAGCTATTGTCAAAAATTTACCGCTTTTTAAGACAGTGCGCACTGAATACTGTATTTGCAATAATTTAAATAAAGTTTAATTTTTTTAATTAATTTAATTTTTTATATTATAATAGTAACTGTTGTTTAATTGATTGTATTGATAGTATCAAAGGTTATACTGTACTAAAAATAAATAAAAAAAAAGTTTTTAATAATAATTTAATGAATAACAAGTTTATGATTTATTTGCAAAATTAAATATATTATTATTATTATTATTATTTTTATAAAAATATTTTTTTTTAAATAATCATACTTTATTTTTTGTATTAATTTATATCATATAATATACATTAATAATAAAATTATTACATAACATACATAATAAATAAAGTACATGTATTAATATTCATATTTTAAACATAATGAATCTTGTAATTTAGTTTTTTTAAATTTATTAGTAAAAATTAATCAATCAATCAACTAATTAATTAATTATATATAAAATGGCTTATTTAAAAAATATATATATAGTTTCTAGAATTATCATTATCATACAGTTTATTATAGTATAAATTAATTGAGCTTTTTTACAAATATGGTATAATTAATTTTATAATTAATTTTATAATTAATTTTAATGTTAGTTTTAGTCACTTGTTAAAATATTGTAAATTTATATCTGTATTATATATACAATAAATTAATATATATATATATAATTTTATATACTTATATAAACAGTGATTTTATAGATGCAGTATAAACTATATTTTTACAATTAATAATTTTGTTAATAATATATTTTTGTATTATTATTATTATTATTATTAACAAAATATTAATAGTTTCAAATATTTATAACAATTAAGTTTATTTTAGTAATACAAATAAATAATAATGTTTAAATTATTATTATTATTATTACTAGTATTTATACTAGCTGATCCAATTGTATTGGATAATACTAATTTTATTGTCGATTCATCCAAAACAGTTGAAAGCTTAAATAAAGTAAGTAATCAATAAAATTATTATGTTTTTAAAAAAAATTGTATTTTAATAATTATCGGGTAATTAACACTATTATATCGGGTAAACCCTAAACTAAAATATGTGATTTTATGAGATACTCATAACCGAGTCCTAGCCTAGTAGTAGTAGTAGTAGTCAATGATTGTACGGCAATACTATATTAGAGGACACGGGTTCAAATCCCATACAATTTTTTTGTTTTTTTTGTGTTAGTCTCTCCATAAAACAACAACCCCCCCATTTAATTGTCTGAACCCCCTCCCTAACCATTGGTGACGTCTAAACCCAGTGTCATGTAATTGTAGATCAGTTTAGTGTAGTTATTGTGTGTGTGTTTATGTTTGTTTGATTGTTTGTTAAAATATTTATTTTTTAAAAATATATACATGTATATTCTACATATATTAATAATCAATTAATTAATAATAAAAAATTAATTAATTAAGCAGCCATAATTATTTTACTAAATATATTCAAATATGTTTTTTTTAAATAAAAAATAATTACTTCCGATATATAGTATAGTATTGAATGTTATAATAACTAATATAAAGTTTATATATTATTATAAAAAGAAAATATACAATAATATAATTATTTATTTTTTAATTATTTTACTAATTTCACCCTCTTTTACTATAATACAGTATAACACATATACATAATTATTAGAGATTATAACTTTTTTTTTAAGTATAATCCACTTTATATATTTTAAACAAATTTTAATATAAAAATTAAAAGAAAAAAATAGTATTTAAAATTTAAAAATCTTAACTTTAATAGTATCTAATGATTTAAAAAATTACAAAAAAAATATTTATATATATAATAGTATCAGTCATTTATCGTATAGTTTGTAATATTGTTTTGTTTATTTGTTGTTTATATTTAAAAATACTAGAAAATTGTTATATCATTAATAATCACTAATAATACTTAATATTTAAGCAAACATATTAACTAGAAAACTGATTTGATTATTAACAACAGTGTATTTTTAAATTTCAAAAAAAAATTTATATATTTATATATTTAGCTTATTCAAACTTTTCAAATTTTAAAATTATAATTAAAAATTTATAATTATAATTATTTTAATTTTTTTTTAAATTTATTAGTTAAAAGGAACCTGGTATAGAAGTTACGGTACACAAAACTTTGAGTGTCTATCATTTGAATTAAATGGCAACCCTGATAATGTACAACAATATGAATTAATTGATAGGTAAAAAAAATATTAATTTTTTTTTATATTAATTAAATTATATTTTAATATTATAATTCAATTTAGTTTGTTGTAAAAAATACCATATTTTTATTCTATCGCTTGAATTAATATAAAGTATAATAGATATTTTTTTTAAAAATTTTAATTTTATTTAAATAATAAAAACAAACAAAAATAATAATCTTATTAATTAGAATACATGTATTGAATATCATTAAAAAAAATTAAATAAAATTAGTTAAAAAATTATGATAATAATTTCTAGGGCTATAAATTTATTTTTTTTTTAAATAATTTATTAATTAATTTTATTTTTAAAATATTAATTTTATCAATTTTTTAGACGAACAAGATTTATTGATTCGAGATGGAAAAATTCGTAAATATTTTTTTTTTTAATTTTATAATATTAATGTTTGTTTAAATTATAATATATAAATCATATATATATATATATATTTATAGAGCATATGGCGATTTGACAATCAAAAAACATGCGACTATAGTGGCAAACAATACAATCCATACTAAACGTTGGGACACCGGTTATGAGGAATGGTTAACCATTTTGGGCACTGATTTCGATAGTTATCTTATCGTACAGACTATTGGATCAAATAATCAAAGTTTGTTTAAACAAAAAAAAAATTATTTATAGTATATATATATATATAATATAAAATATATTTAATTTTAATTATTATTATTTTTAATTTGAATAAATAAAATAATTCACAAATTTTTAATATATATATATTTATTTATAGAATCGATTGATGCCTATGGAAGACAGTATGAGTTGGAACTGGATGTTAGTCCAACCGAATCGTGTACCCGAACTCGTAAACGATTTTGTATAAAAGTCAAACTCAATGCTAATAGAAAAGGCTGTAATTATCCGAAACCAACGGCTCAGCCGTCGTCGACAACCGAAGAATCGTTGACGACTACAGTGTCCGCAGCGAACACTAACAGCAATACTAACAATACAAACCCACATCACCCACATGTAAATCATGACCACAATAGTACCCACACAAACCCACATCACCCGCATGTAACCCATGACAACAATAGTAACCACACAAACCCACATCACCCACATGTAAAACATGACAACAATAGTAAGCACACAAACCCACATCACCCACATGTAACCCATGACAACAATAGTACCCTCACAAACCCACATCATCCACATGTAAATCATGACAACAATAGTAACCACACAAACCCACATCACCCACATGTAAATCATGACAATAGTACCCACACAACCCCACATCACCCACATGTAAATCATGACAATAGTACCCACACAACCCCACATCACCCACATGTAAATCATGACAATAGTACCCACACAACCCCACATCACCCACATGTAAATCATGACAATAGTACCCACACAACCCCACATCACCCACATGTAAATCATGACAATAGTACCCACACAACCCCACATCACCCACATGTAAATCATGACAATAGTACCCACACAACCCCACATCACCCACATGTAAATCATGACAATAGTACCCACACAACCCCACATCACCCACATGTAAATGACAACAATAGTACCCACACAAACCCACATCACCCGCATGTAAATCATGACAACATTAGTACCCACACAAACCCACATCACCCACATGTAAGTCATGCGGACAATAGTACCAACACAAAACCACATCACCAACATGTAAATCATGACAACAATAGTACCCACACAAACCCACATCACCCACATGTAAGTCATGCGGACAATAGTACCCACACAAACCCACATCACCCACATGTAAATCATGACAATAGTACCCACATTAACCCACATCACCCACATGTAAATCATGACCACAATAGTTCCCACACAAACCCACATCACCCACATGTAAGTCATGCGGACAATAGTACCAACAAAAACCCACATGTAAATGACAACAATAGTACCCACACAAACCCACATCATCCACATGTAAATCATGCGGACAATAGTACCAACACAAACCCACATGTAAATGACAACAATAGTACCCACACAAACCCACATCATCCACATGTAAATCATGCGGACAATAGTACCAACACAAACCCACATGTAAATCATGCGGACAATAGTACCAACACAAACCCACATGTAAATGACAACAATAGTACCCACACAATCCCACATCACCCACATGTAAATCATGCGGACAATAGTACCAACACAAACCCACATGTAAATCATAACAACAATAGTAACCACACAAACCCACATCACAGTCAAGTAAATCCAGAACAAAACAGAAATCAATCAATTCCACATGAAAGTCCAAGGAACAATAGTACATATAAGATTTTATCGTCATCATCGAATCCAAGCAATATCTCGCATCCAAACATTGTCTCGAATCCAAACAATGTTTCGAATCCAAGCAATGACTTTAATCCAATAATTTTCTCACTTCCAAGAAATGTCTCTATTCCAATCAATTTAACGAATCCAAACAATGTATCGCTTCCAAGCATAAATCAAGACAATGGCCAGAATCCAAGCAATGTTCCGAATCTAACCAATGGCTCGAATTCACGAAATGGCCAGAATCCAAGCAATGTTCCGAATCCAAGCAATGTTCCGAATCCAAGCAATGTTCCGAATCTAACCAATGGCCCGAATTCAAGCAATGGCCAGAATCCAAGCAATCTTCCGAATCTAACTAATGGCCCTAATTCAAGTAATGGCCAGAATGCAAGCAATGTTCCGAATCTAACCAATGGCCCGAATTCAAGCAATGGCCAGAATCCAAGCAATGGCCAGAATCCAAGTAATGTTCCGAATCTAACCAATGGCCCGAATTCAAGCAATGGCCAGAATCCAAGCAATCTTCCGAATCTAACTAATGGCCCTAATTCAAGTAATGGCCAGAATGCAAGCAATGTTCCGAATCTAACCAATGGCCCGAATTCAAGCAATGGCCAGAATCCAAGCAATGGCCAGAATCCAAGCAATATTCCGAATCTAACCAATGGCCCGAATTCAAGCAATGGCCAGAATCCAAGTAATGTTCCGAATCTAACCAATGGCCCGAATTCAAGCAATGGCCAGAATCCAAGTAATGTTCCGAATCTAACCAATGGCCAGAATCCAAGCAATGTTCAGAATTTAACCAATGGCCAGAATCCAAGCAATGTTCAGAATCTAACCAATGGCCAGAATCCAAGTAATGTTCCGAATCTAACCAATGGCCAGAATCCTAGCAATGTTCCGAATCTAACCAATGGCCAGAATCCAAGTAATGTTCCGAATCTAACCAATGGCCAGAATCCAAGCAATGTTCAGAATCTAACCAATGGCCAGAATCCAAGCAATGTTCCGAATCTAACCAATGGCCAGAATCCAAGCAATGTTCCGAATCTAACCAATGGCCAGAATCCAAGTAATGTTCCGAATCTAACCAATGGCCAGAATCCAAGCAATGTTCAGAATCTAACCAATGGCCAGAATCCAAGCAATGTTCAGAATCTAACCAATGGCCAGAATCCAAGTAATGTTCCGAATCTAACCAATGGCCAGAATCCAAGCAATGTTCCGAATCTAACCAATGGCCAGAATCCAAGTAATGTTCCGAATCTAACCAATGGCCAGAATCCAAGCAATGTTCAGAATCTAACCAATGGCCAGAATCCAAGTAATGTTCCGAATCTAACCAATGGCCAGAATCCTAGCAATGTTCCGAATCTAACCAATGGCCAGAATCCAAGTAATGTTCCGAATCTAACCAATGGCCAGAATCCAAGCAATGTTCAGAATCTAACCAATGGCCAGAATCCAAGCAATGTTCCGAAGCTAACCAATGGCCAGAATCCAAGCAATGTTCCGAATCTAACCAATGGCCAGAATCCAAGCAATGTTCCGAAGCTAACCAATGGCCAGAATCCAAGCAATGTTCCGAATCTAACCAATGGCCAGAATCCAAGTAATGTTCCGAATCTAACCAATGGCCAGAATCCAAGCAATGTTCAGAATCTAACCAATGGCCAGCATCCAAGCAATATTCCGAATCTAACCAATGGCCCGAATTCAAACAATGGCCAGAATCCAAGCAATGTTCCGAACCTAAACAATGGCCCGAATTCAAGCAATGGCCAGAATCCAAGTAATGTTCCGAATCTAACCAATGGCCCGAATTCAAGCAATGTCCAGAATCCAAGTAATGTTCCGAATCTAACCAATGGCCAGAATCCAAGCAATGTTCATAATCTAACCAATGGCCAGAATCCAAGCAATGTTCAGAATCTAACCAATGGCCAGAATCCAAGCAATGTTCCGAATCTAACCAATGGCCAGAATCCAAGTAATGTTCCGAATCTAACCAATGGCCAGAATCCAAGCAATGTTCAGAATCTAACCAATGGCCAGAATCCAAGCAATGTTCCGAATCTAACCAATGGCCCGAATTCAAGCAATGGCCAGAATCCAAGTAATGTTCCGAATCTAACCAATGGCCAGAATCCAAGTAATGTTCCGAATCTAACCAATGGCCAGAATCCAAGCAATGTTCAGAATCTAACCAATGGCCAGAATCCAAGCAATGTTCCGAATCTAACCAATGGCCAGAATCCAAGTAATGTTCCGAATCTAACCAATGGCCAGAATCCAAGCAATGTTCAGAATCTAACCAATGGCCAGAATCCAAGCAATGTTCCGAATCTAACCAATGGCCAGAATCCAAGTAATGTTCCGAATCTAACCAATGGCCAGAATCCAAGCAATGTTCCGAATCTAACCAATGGCCAGAATCCAAGCAATGTGCAGAATCTAACCAATGCTCAGAATTTAAGCAAATTCTCGCTTCCAAGCAATCTCTTAAATTCAGACAATGTCCTAAAAGGAAGCAATACATTAAATCCAATCATTAATCCTTTAAAACCAAACACGAATTCGTCGATTCCGTTACAACTAATTCCGGGCCAAAACAAATCCAAACCAAACAATACCATTGCACCGGAACTGTGCGATACGGACGATACGACACCAAACAGTGTCGTCTTCGTCGCCAACAATAAGAATACAGATTCAGGAAACCTGTCGACAGTTAAACAGTAAAGTCTTTCAAAAAAAAATTTAACAAAAAACAAATCAATAGAATAGACAAAAAAAATATATTAATTATAATCGACTGATATGTTTAAGAATAATAATAATAATTATTATTATTATATTAATTATAATATATTTCTAAAATTTTATTTTTAAATTATCTATAATTTTCTTCTATTATTAAATATTTTATTTTAAAATAATAAATTTATGTAATTATTAACAAATTTTTTTTTAAAAATATTAATAAATGTTTTTCAAACAATAATTTTTTGTTTATTTAAATTGAAATTAATTAGATTTTATTTACTAAATATTTTACATATAAAACAAATAAAATTATTTTTATTTATTTGTGATATTTTTATTAGTATTATTATTATATTAGATTTTATTTACAATTTAATAAACTATAATATAATTAGTTTACAAAACATTACACTAAAAATATATTTTATTTTTATTTTTTAACAAATAGGGGCTTTAATTATGTAATTTTTATGTAAACTTCCTTAAATTTTTTTATTATTTATAACATGAAAAACTGTTATTATTATTGTTATTAAATATTATTACAATTAGGTTATTAAATTTAAAACAAAAAAATAATATATATATATATATACTATATATTATTAATAAAAATATATTATTTTATTTATTGTATTATATTTTAAAAACATATATTAAAAGTTATTTGATTTTTTTAAAAAAAATATTACTTATAATTTGTTTAATATATTTATAGATTTAATATTAATATCTATAGTTATATAATAAATTAAGTCAATTATATAACTATACATATAATTAGTTATGAATTATTATAAAAAAATATTTTATTTAACAAAACTATTAGTATTAATAGTTTTGTTAAACAATATTAAATGCGATGATACTATTGAAACTACCGGTGCCGTCAACGATAACAACAATACGAATACCGACAATATAGACGTTAAAAAACCTAACGACACTCTAGCAATAGCTGATAGGGAACGGGATGGTCGCGGAACGGACTTAATGGACGTCATTGGCGAAGCTATTGGTGCCGCAGCTGCAGGTGCAGCGGCTGCTGTCAGTTCGTCAGTGATCAGGGGTGTGTCCGGCAGTAAGTATTTAAATCTTATATTTTAATAAACAGTAACTGTTCTCCAAATCTAACTGTTCTCCTGAATCTAACTGTTCTCCTGAATCTAACTGTTCTCCTGAATCTAACTGTTCTCCTGAATCTAACTGTTCTACTAATCTAACTGTTCTCTAAATCTAACTGTTCTCCTGAATCTAACTGTTCTGCTGAATCTAACTGTTCTCCTGAATCTAACTGTTCTGCTGAATCTAACTGTTCTCCTGAATCTAACTGTTCTCCTGAATCTAACTGTTCTCCTGAATCTAACTGTTCTCCTGAATCTAACTGTTCTCTAAATCTAACTGTTCTCCTGAATCTAACTGTTCTGCTGAATCTAACTGTTCTCCTGAATCTAACTGTTCTCCTGAATCTAACTGTTCTCCTGAATCTAACTGTTCTCCTGAATCTAACTGTTCTCCTGAATCTAACTGTTCTCCTGAATCTAACTGTTCTCCTGAATCTAACTGTTCTCCTGAATCTAACTGTTCTCCTGAATCTAACTGTTCTCCTGAATCTAACCACTGCTAATCACTGTCACACCAAAAAAAAAGACTCATTGATTACGACTGGCGAGTACTGTGGCGCCCGCCGATCAAACCGCTACTGCGATATCCATTGTCACGACCTGTTTCGTGGACCGCTAACCGGCTGGTGTCGTAGCGGCCAATGTGTTTGCGAATGCGACCAATACGAGTGCGATCGCTACTGTCGCCGCTATTGGGACTCACATCATCACTGGGACATTGAGGTCGATACTACCGATTACGACTATGACCGCTACCGTAGACGCCACTATCCGTCCTACTATTCATCGCCTTTGCTTATCGGCGGTAGTAGTGGTAGTAGTAGTAGTGGCAATGTTAATGGTCTAGTCGTAGGCACCGTCGGCAACGGTAGACAAGTGGTTAACAGCAGATTAGACAGAGGCTACTGTTCCTCATCGCGCGGCTGTCAATGTGATTGATTGATGGATAGACAGTCAAACACTCAAACAGTATTAACCTTATTATGAATATTCCTATTAAATATTTATTAATTAAATTAATAATTTAATATTTTTTGCTTGTTTTATATGTTATTTATATATATATATTATTAATATTTAAAATAATTATTATCACCAAAAAAATATATATATTTATATTTTCAAAAATTGTGAATTATATATATAAAGTTGCTTGAAAATATATTATAAATTATTAAACAAAAAACTTTTAAATAATTGCAGTCGTAATTCTGATATTATAAAAACTGTAACTTTTATTGAAATAATATAAATTATAAAGTATTACAATAATCAATGAAAATAAGTTTAAACAAAGTATAGTAATATGTGTGTGTTTGTGGAGTGACTGTCCTAATGGTCAGTCAGTGTCCTATTTTTATACACATGTTTGGGTAAGTGTCCGCACCAGCGGCTACTTTGACATACTTTTATGTTAGGATTATAACCCTTTTAAACAAATCATAAAATCATATTTGGACTAAAATAATCATAAAATAAAATAAATTCATAGTTATATTTAGTAAATCAAATATTAGTTTTAATTAACAATAGATACCAAAAATATGTACTGTATCTATATTTATGATAAAATAAGTGTATACTTGGAAAATACATAAAATAAGTTTATATTTATAATATTGATATTAACATAAAAATAGGTATTATTTTAAGTTATATTTAAGACAATAAAATCAATTAGAAATATTTAAAATAAAATGTATAATAAAACTAAAAATAAATAACAATATTTCGGGTATACTTTATATCCCCTGTCTTTAAGACATGCCTACAGGTTATGCATATCTTAATTTTGAAATGTGAAATATGTCATCTGTTTTGCCCTTTTTATCACAATTCACTCTATAACTTATTTTTGATAATTTTTCAATTACTTTGAATGGGCCGACCATTAGCGGCTCTAACTTTTTGCGAGTAATTTTATTTTTATTTTCAATATATACTGAATCGCCTATATTTAGTTCAATAGGTTTACGCTTAATATCATAATATTTTTTGTTAATATTATGGTTTTTGATACTATTATCAAAAGCTATTTTTCTCGCTTTTTCAATGTTCATATCTAACGGCAATTGAAAAGTTTCAAATGGTTTAATACCAAACAATAAATAATTGGGAGTGAAATGCGTTACACTGTGTGGGCTATTGTTATATTCAATTGTAATATCATGTAATAGATTAGGCCAACAAATATTTTTGTTACAATCATTTAGTTTACACCGTAATCTGTTAGTTAGTGTTTGTATTACACGCTCACACATACCGTTACTTTGAGCACAATTAACACTTATAAACATTAATTTGATTTCATTTTTATTACAATAGTTTTTAAATTCATTTGATTTGATACCTGTGTAACGATCAGCTAAAATAAGTTTTGGTTTTTGTGTTTGTTTTATACAATTAATTAAATTAATAAAATCTTTTGATTGTTGTGTTTTTGATGCTAATGTCCAAACATATCTAGTAAAATGGTCAATAGCAACATGTACAAATTGTTTTTTTGAGTTATAGCCAGATAGGCCACCTGTCGTATCAATAGATATGATTTCAAAAGGCTCTTTGGCGGGACCTAAGTGAGACAACTGTCCATATTTGGGTTCGCGCGACACTTTATTTGCGATACAAATTTGACAACCCTTTAGATAGTTATTGATTTTGTTATGCATATCATTGAAATAATAGGCGCCTGAGATTAAGTATAACATTTTACGATAGCCAATATGACCAAAATGTTTGTGCATTTTATCAATAAGTTTGTCAACCAATATATCTGATATAAATATACGATTAATATCTAATTTTTTATTAATAATTAAATTATTTTTTAATACAGTATTTTTAGGCAAATTGTTGTGATATTGTTTTTGATCATCTATGATATCAGTCATTTCAAGTAAATTAACGCATTTAATGTGTGGTACTGTTTCCGATGCCTCTAATACTGGTTGTCTACTCAAAGCATCGGCTTCTCTATTATCAACACCTCTGATATATTTAACATCTAAATCGTATTGACTTAATCTTAGAGACCAATTAAATAAACGGGAATTTGGTTTTTTAATTGACTTAAGCCATCTCAATGAGTTGTGATCACTATATATCAGTATTTGTTTACCATAAACATAATGATGCCAATAATCAATTGCTGATATTATAGACAAACACTCTAATTCTGTTATATCATAATTTTGCTGATATTTTAATAGTTTTTTAGAGTAATAGGCAATAGGGTATAGTTTGCCATCAGATTGTATTTGTTTAAATACAGCTCCTATACCTACTTTGGATGCATCACAAAAAATTATACATTTTTTGTTTGGGTCATATATGCGTAAAATAGGATAACTTGTTAAATATTGTTTTGTTTTTTCAAAAGCATTTTGACATTCAATAGACCATTCAAACTTTTTGTCTTTACCTAATAGGTTATACAATGGTGCTAATAGAGCATAAGCATTGGGAATAAAACCGTAATAAAAGTTTACTTTACCTAAAAACTGTTGTATATGTTTTACTTTCAATGGTTTAGGAAATTCACGTATAGATACTATATTATCATTAATAGGTGTGTATGAGTTTTTAGATATATAATGTCCTAAGTATTTGACTGATTTTTGAGCAAAACTACATTTACTTAATTTTAGTTTAACATTTTCAGCTAATAGTGCTTTTAAAACATTTTCAATATGTATAATATGATTATCAAATGTTTTTGAATGAATCAAAATATCATCCAGATAATTTTTTGCATACTTAATTAAATTATGTTTTTTAAGTATTGTATGTATAATACGTTGAAATATCATAGGACTGTTTTTGAAACCAAATGGCATACATAGCCACTCATATTGACCACTAGTGCTAACAAATGCTGTCTTTTTTATATCATTGTTGTGGACTTTTATGTGCCAAAAGCCACTTGTGATATCTAGAGTAGTAAAATAGTCACAATCATAGAGTGAATCTACAATATCTTTAAACAATGGGAACGGGTAGTTTTGTGATACAGTTACTGTATTTAGTTTCCTGTAATCAATACATAACCTACTTTTAATACCCTCGTCCTTTTTATTAGCTAATGTAATAGGAAATGAATAAGAGCTATAACTTTTCTGAATTAATTTGTGTTTCAATAATTCATTGATTTGTGTATCAATGGTTTGTTGATCTATTTGAGAGCATCGGTAGGGTCTGAGATTAATTGGTATATTATTAATTAATTCAATTGTGCACATTTCAGTATTAATCTGACCTACATCATATTTATGTTTAGAAAATATATTAACATATTTAGATAATAAGTAATGTATTGTATTTGCTTGCTTAGCGCTAAAATTGTTGCAATCAATTTTAATTGTATTGTTAAACTCAGCAATGTTGAGTCTGAGCTTATCATTATTTATTAAATTATTTTGTGTATAATTAGTTAATATTTCCTCATTAATTGTATTGTCTTTATGTTTAAGACATTGAAAAACTCTCAATTCATTTGTTAAATTTAATGCAAATAATGTGATTAAATTAAGTCCTATCAATAGATCATAATTGCTATTTTCAATTACATATAAATCACAATTTTGTGATATTTGCCCAATAAGTATTGGTACACATTTTACGAGACCTAAACAATAATTATTAGCATTTATTGTTTTAAAACTATTTGTTTTAGTAAATTTATAAATTTTTAATTGTAATTCATTAGCTAAATTACTACTAATAATTGAGACATTTGACCCTGGATCATAAATAGCATTTAAAATTTTGTTATTAACTATAGTTAACATAGAGATCAGGGGGTTATGTCTAGGCCTCTGTATTAGTTTAAACTAACTGTCGGTTCCTCATCAGTAGACTGATTGTCTATCAAATTGATTTGTTTGGGAACCGTATCACTCTTAGGTTTGGCCCGAGTCGGGCAATCCTGAGGCCAATGAAATTTATTTGTTTGGCCAACATTTTCACACATACGGCAAGCATATCTAGGCTTAGGTTTGAACTTATTATTGTTTAAGTTTTGGTCAGTCTTAGGCTTAAAATACTTTGATTTGTTATTGAATTTATCATTAGATTTGTTGTTAAACTTATTGATAGTGCGTAACAAATTAGTCTCAGCTGTTTTGGCAATATTATAAAATTCAGACATTGATTTGGGTTTTACAGCAATGAATGCTTCAGACATTTTTGGATGCAAATTATGTATCATAAGTGGTATCATTTGATCCACCGTTAGCTTAGCTATAGTGCCATATCTGCGCTTTTCTTCAAAATAACTTTTTAAACCTTTTTTCAAATCATATCTTAGATTTACAAATTCAATTATAGGCTCAACAGTATCGACACCGAAACGATTGATTAGTTTAGTTTTGAGAGTATCGAAACTATCGGTACCTTCATATGACTCTATATACCAGTTCAACGAGTCATCCTCTAAGTAGTTCCCTATCATAACTGATTTGTGTTCATCATTCCACTTATAAAACTTAGCTAACATTTCAAATCGTTTCAACCAATTCTCAATTGAAACCTTGTCCTCACATCCCTTAAAAACTTGTAGTTTTGGCTTACTTTTCGATGAGAAGGTGGGCATTGGGTCCTCTCCTTCCGAATCGGTCGACTCTAATTGATGGATGTGTTGTGTGGTCTGTTTGGTTGTCGTCGGCGTTAGGGTTGTTGGTTGTGTTGAGTACTGGCCGTTCAACTCTGTTGTGTCGCTGTCGTTGTGTTGGATATCGGCGTTTTGATCGTTTGGTTGGTTGGGTATATTTGGAGTGTTGGATGTCTGTGTCTGGCGGCGACTGTTTCGTGTTATCGGCATATTTGGTGATTTGTTGTTCAACTAATGCCTGTCCTCCTTCAAAGGCTGCTGTTGTTACAATTGATGAAACGGCGTGTTTTTTGAGGTATGATACGAGTGCTTTGAGTATACCACCAGAAGCTGATGAGACAAATATGACAATCAATATGATAGTCAATGTTTGCACGATTTTAAAAAAGTTCATTGGATAGTTGAGTCACAATTTATATAATTATTAGGCAGATTAACTATCCTGCCGACTTATAAAGTTGCTTGAAAATATATTATAAATTATTAAACAAAAAACTTTTAAATAATTGCAGTCGTAATTCTGATATTATAAAAACTGTAACTTTTATTGAAATAATATAAATTATAAAGTATTACAATAATCAATGAAAATAATTTTAAACAAAGTATAGTAATATGTGTGTGTTTGTGGAGTGACTGTCCTAATGGTCAGTCAGTGTCCTATTTTTATACACATGTTTGGGTAAGTGTCCGCACCAGCGGCTACTTTGACATACTTTTATGTTAGGATTATAACCCTTTTAAACAAATCATAAAATCATATTTGGACTAAAATAATCATAAAATAAAATAAATTCATAGTTATATTTAGTAAATCAAATATTAGTTTTAATTAACAATAGATACCAAAAATATGTACTGTATCTATATTTATGATAAAATAAGTGTATACTTGGAAAATACATAAAATAAGTTTATATTTATAATATTGATATTAACATAAAAATAGGTATTATTTTAAGTTATATTTAAGACAATAAAATCAATTAGAAATATTTAAAATAAAATGTATAATAAAACTAAAAATAAATAACAATATTTCGGGTATACTTTATATATATATATATATATATATATTGTATATATAATATCACTATTTATTTTTAATCAATAATTTTAATTTTAATTTCAATGGCTTTTTAATAAAATATTAATATATAATAATAATATTAATAATTTTATTGAATGATGATATCATTATTTAATTTAATTAATTGATTTTTTCAATTAGTGATTTTGCAACATAAATGCGTGTTCAATAAAAAAAAATAAATTTTTATAACTATATATACATTTACATTAAAATAATTTTATTTAAAAAATAAAATATATACCATTTGGTCATAAAAATCTAAATTAATTATAAGCAATATGTCCACCATTGCGATGATAAATCATTAAATATATATATATATAAATATTACTTAAAATTATGTATATTAAATCTAACCAGGCAAATTGTTTATTATTTAAATTTAGTAGTAATCATTGTTTAAATTATTTAGTTTTGCTAGTATTATCACTAACTGTAATACAAGTGTCGTCAAAATGTAGACGCTTTGATCAACTGGCCATCGCACCTGTCGATTATAATAAGGTATATATATTAATATAAATATATATATGTATATATAAATATAATATATATTATAATATAGGATAGTTATACAATATATTATAATTATGTTAATTATTTTTGAAGACTATAATAATTTTCAAGATTTATTTAATTATTAATATTTCTATTTAGTTATAGATAGTTAACAACTAAAAAATTAGTTACTAATTTTATAAATGTAAATTTTATTAAGATATTAAATAATTTTATATAATGTTAGATTATTTTTGTTTGTTGTTAAAGTCTATAATATAATAATAATATCATAGATTAAGGAATATAAATAATAATTTATAAATTGTAAATTATAAATTAAATATTTTTATATGTGATTTTTTTTCTATACATTGTATTTTTTTTTTAATTTTTATATATTAATATAATACAGGTATTGAAGTATAATTTTTTTTTTAAAAAACTAATTAAATTGTAGTATTATAATGATAATAATAATTACAGTACAGTTGCTAAGCTATACTAACGTAATTAATAATACAGTTATATATATGAATATAATAGTAATAATTTTATAATACTTAATCAAAAAATATATATATATATATATAAATTTTTATATATACAGTATATATATTTAACAGTAACTTATAATTTTAAAAAAAAATAATTTTATAAATTATGATGTTTTTTAATTTATATTTTTTTAAAAAAAACTATCGTTACCTAAAACAGTTATCTGGATTATGGCATATCGATTATACTAGCGATCCAGTTGAAGACCCTACCGGTGCCCAAACTGTCATCGATAATAAAAATTCCAGCACTACTGTCCAAATTGAGACTAAGTATCTAATATATATACATATATATAAAAAAATAAAAATAATACTAAAATCTAAATTATTAATTTATTTTTATTACTAGAAAAAAAACAAAAATTATTCAAATAGTTAGATTTTTTAATATGCATATAACTAAATAGATAATTTTATTTTCAATTTTTTTTTGGTAGTTATGATACAACACATACAATAATTTTATTTTACTGTCTTAAAAAATTTGATTGTTGATTATTGTTAATTAATTGATTTATTGATTTATATTATAGTACATCGATATCATGTAAGTCGGCCACCATAACCAGTATCGGCACCAAACGGCAGATTATGAACTGCCCTAATAATATTGAATACACTTATTGGGTGATTGCAACCGATTATACTAACTATTTGCTAACCTACCAGTGCGATAAAAAACGATTTAAAGGTTAGTTTAATTAAATAATATATTAAACTATATTTAAAAACACAAACACACAATATATTTAGCATTTTTTTTATTAAATAGTATAAATAATATATATTATTGATAATAATTAAAAAAAAATATTATAAATATATTTGGGTAATGTATATATAATTATTTTTTTTATATTAATTTTCTATTAGAAATCTATCGTATATACAGTCGACAATCGGTAGACAATGCAAACTATGAAAAATTAGTTAAACTATTGTCAAAAAAATCGCCTGATATTAAACTATCACCAGTTAGTAGACGTCCGGAATTGAAAAACGGTAAATATATATATATATATAACAAATAAATAAAACAAAAAAATTGTTTTTTAATCAATTAATTAATTAATTACTGTATAATAATAATAATAATACTGTAGATAAGCAACTACTGCCCGGTGCTGGTACTACGGCTGCTATTACTACTACTACTACTACTACCTCTACTATTACTACAACTCCTACACCAACAACAACAACAACTACTGTAGCTAACAAACTGGTTGGTACTGAAAAACCACAACAACAACAACAACAACAATCCCAATATCAATCCCAATCCCAGTCCCAACAATCGTGGAGACAATCAATAAAACCGTATTCAGGTATGAAAATAAAACTACTGAAACCGATTCAGCCAATCAAATATATAACAATGAAACCGATTGTAATGGTAACCTATACAATCAAATCGTTAACCGTAGATACGGTTAAACCGTTTAATATAACGGTCAGTCCACTAAATGTAACAGCCAGTCCATTGAAGCTAATAATGCCACCGTTGCAACCCATGGAGTCGATGATTAATATGCCATCGTTTGAACAAAGTCAACCAAACCAACCAATGAAAATTGAACCATTCACTTTATCACCATGGAACTTTAAGCAAGCAACTACCGTAGATAGTTGTATTACAGACAAAACTACTGTTTCCATTACTACCACTCCTACTACTACTACTAACATTCCTACTACTAACATTCCTACTACTACTACTGCTGCTGCTACTACTACTACAGATGATATATATGATTCAGATGACAGTACCACAGATGCTAATTGTGGTATAGGTAGCACCACTACAACTACTACTACTACTACTCCTACTACTACTCCTACTACTACTACTACTCCTACTACCACTCCTACTACCACTCCTACTACTACTCCTACTACTACTACTACTACTACTACTACTACTACTACTCCTACTACCACTACTCCTACTACCACTCCTACTACTACTACTACTACTACTACTACTACTACTACTACTACTACTACTACTACTACTACTCCTATTCCTACTACTACTCCTACTACTACTACTACTCTTACTACTACAACACCAACTACTACAACACTTACTACTACTACTGAGGACAGTTGCATTACAGAGACTACTACTACTGAAGATAGTTGTATTACAGATACTACTACTGAAGATAGTTATCTAACTGAGACTACCACTACTGAGGATAGTTGTATTACAGACATACTAACAACGACTACTGAGGAACCTCTTAAACCATGTCTTAATTTGAATACAGTTGAGTAGATTTATGTTTTTAAAAAAAAAATTTTTTTCATTATTAACACATTCAACAACAAACAAACAAAAAACATGATTAACAAACTGCAACATTAATTTGAAATTTATAATTATTTTTATTAACAAATTAATTAATTAATGATTCAATTATTTTATGTATGATTTTTGTTTTAATTTTTTTTTAAATAGATATATTTTTATTTATTTATTTAAAAAAATTAATTTTTGTTTTGTTGTTGTTGGTGTTATAAACACATTATATAAATTACTAACAATTTTATATGTTATTTTTTTCACAATAATAATTAAACTTAACACAAAACATTACCTAGCTAATTGGCCATTGGTACCGGGTATATTCAACTGAGCCAAAAAATTGTATAACAATGGACGTCGACAAATATGATCCGGATAATGCTGACGATCTGAAATTTTGTATTGAGTAAATTAACAAGCAAAAATTATTTATTTATAATATAATAATTTTTTTTTTAAAAATATAAATTATTAATTAAGATAATTAATTGATTTATTTATTGGTTTGATTGATTGATTGTGTATTTTAATTTTTTTTTTATTTATTAATATACAGAGAAAAATTTAGAGAAATACAAAACGGTAGCATAAAATTAGATTTTTTCAGCGAAACCCAAACCGCTGTCCGTATAACCCAACCGTCCGGCGAGTCATATAAGGCGACCATTTTGTCTACTGATTATGTCAACTATTTTGTATTGCATTTAAAAATGGCAAATAAAGGTCAGTTAGATAATAACCATATACTGTATGTGTACCAGATAGTATATAATACTATATATCATGGTTAAACAAGGTTTTTAGATTTTAGGGGGGGGGATCTAGGGTAGGGCGTAGATTTATATTGCATCTTTAAACGGATTTTTTTTTTAAATCCAAAATCAAGGGGGGTTCAAGTGAAAAATTGACTTGACCCCACCCTACACCCATGCTTAACCCTAATATATATACATGTGATATATACTGTATATATATATATATATATATATATATATTTACGGCACATATTAAATGATATTTTTTTGTGTGTGAAATTTGATAATTTTTATTTATTTTATTTATTATTATTATTATTATTAACAATAATAATTAGATGAGATATCGGTTTATTCAACTAATATTACAACCAATGATAAACTGTTTGCCAAAGTAAAACAATCATTGAAATCATTTGATAACAATACCAGCATATCGTCAATACTTATGCCCAACAATCATACACATTGCGATTATACTGATTATCTACTAAAACAACAAGTAATTGTTTTTTTTTAATTTATGTATAAAAATTAAAGTTATTAATAATTTTTGTTTAATTATTATTATTATTATAAGTTATGTGGACATTGGTATCTGGTTTATGCCAGTGAACTAAAAAATTGTTTAGAAATGGATATCAATTGTCTGAATGATGAGGAACAGGATACTAATGTCGGATCCAATGGCACAACAATTGGGTAATTATCATATATTACAGTATTATGTATTTTGATATATAAAAACAAATTACAATATTATTAAAATAATCGATAGATCGATATAGGAAAGGGGGGGGTTAACTGACCAATATAAAATTTAAAAATAAAATAAAATTAGTTGTTAACTATTATTCTAATTTTTAAACATAAATTTTTATTTTTTTAAAAAAATAATTTTGTAAATTAAAAGGAATGTTGAGACAATTTTTTTTTTTAAATTCCCTAAGTTCCCGAAAATTTTTCATGAAAATAGGATGAAATTCCCAAAGGAAAATAAAGGAAAATGTTCCCCTCCCCCCCCCCCAAAAAAATCGCTTATTTTCAGCAAATTTCCAAAAAAAAAATATGGGGGTACTGGTGTGGAGGTAAAATTCTAGTCTTAAGGGGGTAAGCTAGCTTTACCCCCTCAGATCACAACCATGATATATATATATATATATATATAGACAGTAATATATGTATAAATAAAATGAAAATTAAATATCCTATAATAGTTATGTATTAAAAAACAAAATTAAAAATTTTACTTGATACTATGTTTTATTATATTACTAACTTTTTTAATATATTAGAATTTTTTTTCTAAAAAATATATTAGTATTAAAATTTTTTATTTTGTTTGTTTATTAATTGACTATTACTAATACTATTACTACTACATTTATCACTTATTTTGGGGCTACAATTAGACATAAGGGGGACAACCATCAAATTCAAATGGAACTGGATCTAAATGGGACATTCTATGCCAGTATCAACAATAGTCCATCACATATTGAACATATATTGGACACTGATTACGATAAATATGTTATTTTCAATCGTAAAGAAACTAAAGACAATAAAGGTATCCAACAATTGTTTGGTTTACTATTTTTTTTTTTTTTAAAAAGTTATTTATTTTTATATATATATATTTTTATATTAGAGACAATATGGGTGTATACGCGCACAAAACTACCATTCCCTGGACTGTTATATAAGGCTACCGAAGTTCTAAGCAATGCATCCATTTCCTATCAAATTGAGCCGATAAGTCAGGATAATTGTTCAGCATTATCATCATCGACACCATCACCAAAATTAACTACCGTTCCTGAAATATCATCAACGACACCGACACATATTACTACTACCACTGCAGTGTGCAAACAGCCAACACATACCGATTTCAATGAGGTATTAGTATTGTTTAAATATAATATAAATATTATATATTATGTGTTGAAACAAATAGCAATAGTTTTAACAAATAAGAAATTTTTTTTTAAAAATTATACAAATTTTTTTGATTATTTTTTTGTTGTTGATTTATTTATATAATTATTATTTATTTATTTTTTTAGATAAAAGGTTTCTGGTATAAAATATACGGATCAGATAAACAAGATTGTATTACTGCCAATATTACTGATTTTGATGATACACATCAACAACAACAACAACAACCACAACAACCAAATAAATTACAAGAATTTAAAATGACTAAAAAGTATTTATAAATAATAAATTTTTTTTCTTAATTATATATAAATATATTGATATATAGATATACTGATAATAATTTTTTTTAAAAAAGATAATTATATAATAGTTTTAGAAAAATCATAAATTAAAAAAATTTAAAAAATGATATTTTTTAGATAATTTTTTTTTTTAAATACTGTATTAATATATATTATAGTATAATATTTTTATTGCTATATTGTTTATCAATGTTGTTATACTGTAGTAGTTTATATAATGCTAATAATAATAATAATTATTATTATTATCTATTAATTTCTAATTATCTATCTGTCCTATCTAAATAGATTGGGCAACCAAGTGGTATGTACGGCCCGTTTGTCAATACAACCGGACGGCACTATATTGTCTACTAGTTTGAATACTAGTAAACAATACAAGTTTTATCTATTGTCTACCGATTTTACCGATCATCTCATACTGAATATTGTTAATCTAACCGATAATACATGTAATTATATACACAAAAAACAAACAAAAATTTGTTTTACAACAACATTTAACAATTGACCTAAACTTTTATCTACCCCCCTCCCCATTTACTCACCAACCTATCTACCTACCCATCCTAACCATCCACAAATCAATTACAATGTTACAGCAAAAGTTGCCATATATGCGCACAGTAGTAACCCGGATCCCGACATACTGGACATTGGCAAACACGCCCTGGTAGACAACAATATATCGTTGCCATTGCATCCTAATCAGCACATTGAATGCGATAGAGATCACACCACAACCACCACTACCACAACAACAACAACAACGATAGCGACAACACCAGCTTCTCCACCAGTTATAGCCAGGTGTCGCAATTATGAGGCCCATTCAATTAAAAATATCGACTTAAAATCGGTATGTTTTTTTTGTTATTGTTGTTTAATACATGGTATAAAATACCTATAATACACTCTATGTGTGTGTGTGTGTGTGTGTGTATGTGTGTATGTGTATGTATGTGTATGTATGTGTGTGTATGTATGTGTGTGTATGTATGTGTGTATGTATATGTGTGTATGTATGTGTGTGTATGTATGTGTGTGTGTATTATTGAAAAGTTTTATTATGTCTATATATATTTAATAATTTAATTTATATTTAATAATATATATATATATATATATATATATAGTTGGAGGGCACCTGGAATCAATTGTATGCCAGCAATATAAATGTCACCAATCAACAACAACAATGGTGCTTAAAAACTAAGTTTAACGTTGCTAACAATACTTTAATCAACTTTCAGGACTCGTATGTATTCAATATTATTATTATTATTATTTAGAAATTTTAATTTTTAAAAAAATTTATTTATTTATATATATAATGTAAATAATATTTATTTATTAGAAACAATTGCCAAAACAACAGTGAATTTGGTTCAATAAGCAAACCAACTAATGTTGGCAACAAATATCCGTCAAAATTTTTACGGACATTAAAGACAGGACAGTCGTCCGATTCGAGCAACTACTGGCTATTGGATACCGGTGCCGAATTTTGCAAACCACGGCGCAGCCATCTATTAGTCTACCAGTGCCACAAACCGGCCATCGATCCGATAGCTGGTTGCGATGCACCAGTGATTCGCGGTATAACTGACTGAACTAATTAACTAACCGACTAACTAACTAACTAACTGACTGACTAACTAACCGACTGACTAACTAACTAACTAACTGATTGACTGACTAACTATCCTACTATCTAACTAATTAACTGATTGACTGATTAACTAACCGACTGATTGATTGACTAACTATAATATCGGCCATAAGTTTTTAAAATAATATATATGTGTTTTTTAAATATAATAATTAATTTCCGTTTTTTTATTTTTGTTATTTAATTTATAGAAAATTATCAACTATTTTCCCAATCGCTTAGCATACCTGCGCCCGAAATGGATGCCATCCGTGAACTACTATCAGCAATAGCACCAAACGTTCAATTGGTACCCATAGACCAAACAAACTGTGTTTGCAATTCAACATTAAATGGTATGAAAAAATTAATTATTTTATATACAAATAATTAATAATTATAACTATTTTTTTGTTACTGTTATTTAGTTACCAGTTTAGCTACTAGTAGATCAAAATCGTCAAAAACTAATAAAACAGAAAAATTGCTTAAACTTGCCGGTCCTACCTGTGCTCTGGACAACCATAAACCGGACAATCATCTACGATTGACAGTTGCCGAAACAAATAATGTAAGTATAATTGTATTATTGTAATTATTTTAGTTTACAATTATCATAAATATATATACAATATTTTTTTTTAAAAAAAACATTTGAAAAAAATAATTAATGATTTTTATATAAAAATTATTTTTTAATTTTTAATTAAAATTTAAATTTTAGTTAAGCGGCAAATGGTATCGTGTTTACGCTACTAATGCTACCAATTGTTTGAATATGGAAATTGAAAATAATACATTGCCTATGGCTAAAAAACGATACGTTATTATCAGGTAGAGTTAATTAAAAAAAAAATTTTTTTGTTAAATATTTGTTTGTTTTTTTTGAATATTTTGAATTTTATTTGAATTTTATTTTGAATTGATATTTTTTAAGGATACTTATTATTAATTTATTATTAAGGACACTAACTATAAACTATACAGTAATAATAAAAACAAAACAAAAATATATACATTAGTAAATTAAATACATCTACATATACATCTAATGTATAATACAGTGTAAATTATATATACACTATGATACTGTGTGTGTGTGTGTGTAGCACCTATACCTACAGCACAGTCATTTATATATATATATATAACAAACTAATATATATTTTTAAAAATTAGTTAAAACTTTTTATACGAAAATTATATTAAATTATTAAACTGTATTTATGTATATCTATAGAAATGGCCCTAACGTTTTGGATACATATATTTATAAAAATAAAATGGACGGTTCAATGTCTGCCTACCGGGGTGCCAGCGATAAACTTTATGCAAAAGTATACATATTGGACACCGATTTTACTAACTATCTAATACTATTTAAATGGTTTACCCTCAACAATGACGGTTATTATTATTATTATTATTATTTTCTAATTATAATAAATTTAGTAATTAATTATATTTATTTCTAATTTTGATATACATTGTAAACAATTTATAGAGGGTGTCTATGTGTTTACCCGGAGCCCGAACGGTACCACTGATAACAATAAGCTAATGGAAAAAACAATGAAATTGATTGAAAGTTTGCCAATGAAATTGTCGCCATTGGTTGTCAATCACCAGACAAACTGTAGCGCCGGAGCCGTCGATGATGACAACCATGAGGGCGATGAGTGTAAAGATTTGCCGACACATCTCGACCATCAATCGTCTAGTTTTGCACCGATACCTACAGAATCTGTATCGGTAGCAATAACGGGCACTCAAACACCGATACCTACAGGACCGTTATCTACAGCACAGGCATCTACAGGACAGTCTCCTACAACACAGTCACCTACAGTACAGTCATCTACAGCACAGTCTCATACAGCACAGTCTTCTACAGCACAGTCACCTACAGGACAGTTACCTACAGGACAGTCATCTACTGAACTGTCACATACAGCACAATCTTCTACAACACACTCTCCTACAGCACAGTCATCTACAGAACTGTCTCATACAGCACAGTCTTCTACAGCACAGTCACCTACAGGACAGTTACCTACAGGACAGTCATCTACTGAACTGTCACATACAGCACAATCTTCTACAACACACTCTCCTACATCACAGTCATCTACAGAACTGTCTCATACAGCACAGTCTTCTACAGCACAGTCACCTACAGTACAGTCATCTACAGCACAGTCTTCTACAGCACAATCTTCTACTGCACAGTCATCTACAGCACAGTCATCTACAACACAGTCAAATACAGAACAGTCACCTACAATACAGTCATCTACAGTACAGTCAACTTCAGCAGAACCAGTAGCAATAACGGGTACACAAACATCGATATCAACAACACAGACACCAACAGTACCACCCTTAACATCAGCACTGATATCATCGACACCTGTATCCAATGCAAGCCAAACAAATAGTCATTGTCCTAATATTGATAATAATATTATGAAAACAGTTGACATGAAAAAGGTATTTTTATTTTTAAAAATATTAAATATAAATAAATAAATTATTTTTGAGTTTAACCAATGGTTATAATTATAAAATAGTTAGCCGGCAAATGGGAATACATGTATACATTGCAACCGATCGGCAGTGACTCAAACCTAGATATCCAGTTCAGACCCAAAAGGCCTAAATCGAAATATCCGTGGGTTTTACATATTAGGTATATATATATATATATATCCTAAACAAACCAACCGAAAAAAAATCTATTGCTATATATATATATTAATACTGACTATTGTCTCTCAGAGATGAGGAAAGTGGTCTCAATAAACAGGAATACCGTTTCGACAGGACTACCGGCTACCTGATTGGTAGTGTCAGCAACAAACTGGGCGATCAGGTTGTCGATGCCGAATACAAGCTGGCCGTTATGGACACCGATTATAGTTCACATTTGATTATCTATTCGTGTGTCGAGTCTGGCGGCTCCGGTACCAAAACTGGTTAGTCTAGATTTTTTTATTATCTAAATATATATATATATAATTATTTTTAAAAAACTAACTAATTGTACAACAGTTCGATTGGATGTATTGACGAAAAACTGTATCAAATCAAACATTGATATCAATAGTAAGATAGCTGGTGTTCAGCGGGTGCTAAATATGACAACCGATATATTGAGACCAACCGTGCGATATAATTGTCTACAAGAGTTATACGATAAACCAATTGGTAAGTATGGATGTGTGTGTGTGTGTGTGTGTGTGTATGTGTGTATGTATTTGAGTTTATGTATGTATGTGTATGTATTTGAGTGTGTGTGTATTTTAGTGTATGTATTTGAATGTATGTTTGTGTGTGTGTGTGTGCGTGTTTTAGTATATGTGTGTGTCTATGTATTTGAGTTTATGTATGTATGTGTGTGTATTGAGTGTGTGTGTGTGTGTGTGTGTTTTAGTGTATATATATATATATATATATATGTATGTATTTGAATGTATGTTTGTGTGTGTGTGTGTGTGTGTGTGTGTGTGTGTGTGTGTTTAAGTGTATGTGTGTGTGTTTTATTTAAATAATTAAAATATTTTTGTTGTTGTAAACTAGAAACTACTAATTTCACGGACAAGTGTCTGCACTTTTACAAACACGAGTTAGTCAATACAAATTTTAGACAACTGGCCGGCAAATGGGAACTACAGCTGAGCAACAATCCAAAATTTTGCTACTCATACATATCGACTGAGGCAAGTGCTGACAACCAGGAGCTGACCATTACATTTAAGTAAGTAAATTGAAGGCATAGTTACGTACAATACAAATGTGTTGGGAGTGGGGGGTACTGTATAATCTATGCTAACTATCCACACACACACACATACACCAGGGTTAAGTAAGGGGGGGGGGGGTAGGGGGGGTAAGGCCAAAATACCCCCCCCTAAGATCGAGAATTTGGGATTTTACCCCCCAGACTTTTTGACCAAATTGAAAAAATTGTCGCTTAAAAACGAGGAGAAATGACCCCCCCCCCCCCCCCGCCGAAGGCGCCGAAAATAAAATTTCGGCGCCGAAGGCGCCGAAATTTTTTTTAAGTTTTTAAAAATTTTAATTAAAACTATTTTAGTATGTGTTTTTGTTTTTAAAATTTATATAAATCTAATTATTGATTATAAATAAGTAAAAAAGTTAAAATAACGTTAAAACTCATCAAAAAACATAATTTTAATTAAAATATTAAACTAAAAAATTTAAAATTACATATTTGTTGAAAAGAATAATCATATTACATTATAAATAGAAGTTTGAGATAGTTTAAGAAGTTAATAAAACAATAAATACATATATTATAAAGTTTTTATTGATAATTTTTAAAATTTTATATAAGAATTTTGAAAATATTTTCAATTTTATAATTAATATAGATAAAACTTTAACGAAAATTGAGTTAAGTAATTAGTATTCAGTCAGTATTTGTATAAAAATAACATATACCTATAACTATAAACATTAAATATTATTTAAAAAATTAATTATTTTAAAATTTAAAAATTACTAAAATACTAAAAAAACTCATTAATACTTTTATCAACTATTTTAATCTAAAATACACAATTATTTTATTATTCGTTAAAATTTAAGTTTTTATTAATTTTTAAAATTTTTTTAAAAAATTATTTATTTTTTGTTAAAATTTAAGTTTTTATTAAGTTTTTTATTAATTTTTAATTTTTTTAATATTTTTGGAAATTTTACCTATTTTCCTGGGAATTTATACGGGAACTTATGGGAATTTTCCTTAATTTACATGGGAATATTCGGGAATTTAAGGGAATATTAGGGAATTTTCTCTGGACCCCCCCCCTTGATTTTGGATTTTTGAAAAAATTGCCGTTTAAAAATGCAATAAAAATCTTACCCCACCCAATACCCCCCCCCAAGATTTTTCGAGAATTTTGCAAATTTTACCCCGGTCTACCCCCCTAAAATCCAAAACCTTGCTTAACCCTGACATACACCTAACCTAACTATTCATAACCATATCATCACCAGTCCTGGACAGCCTATGACCTATACTATGCGACACATCAATGGCTCAAACTATAATAGCTATATAATTGGCAATAATAGCGGCACCATTATCGATGCCACCATTGCCACCGATTATGACCAGTACGCCATATTCTACCAGTGCCAACATGTCATGGAAGGGGGTATACCTAATAAACAAGGTAAACTATATATAATTTATATTCAACATTATTAATTAATTTTCAATTATTTATTTTTGAATGCTTGATTCCACCCAACCACCCTCTTACTCTTCCCCCTCCGCCCCAAAAAATAGAGCTATTATATATAATGTTACGACCAAACATATCGGCACAGTTGGCCGCCGATACCGACAACAAATTGTTGGCCAATATTTTTAGCCAAATACAGCCGCAAACCATTCAGAAATTGATGCCGTTGGTCAACAAATTGAGTCATTGTAGTAATAAACGATTGAAAAATATTGGCCAAACACAACTGGCCAGAGATCAGTCGGATAGATTGGCCCGAAACAACAATCGTACCGATCGTCAAGTGTTGAAATTTTTGAGCGACAATTGTCGCCAGTTTACCGAGGATGAGCTGAAAAATGTCGACCTAAATAAGGTATTGTCGGTTTCATTTTTGTTGTTGTTGTTGTTGTTGGTGGTGGTGGTGCTTATGCTACATAAGATACCTTACCATCTAAACTATAGTTCCTTTAACCTAATTATCTATATGTTGTTTAATATTTTTGATTTTATCTATATATATTAGATTTTTAAAAGTTGGAAATTAGACTACTCGACCCAAATGTTTGATAATATTCAATACGATAGGACAGTCGTACGCCGGGAAACGGATCAATCGTATAGTATTGATCTATAGTGAGTAGTATAATACTATACCTACAGTATTACTATATATTAAAATTGTTTCTATATATGTGTGTGTATTATTACAGTAACGGTGACAGATATATTAGTAGTAGAAACATATACTATGACCCGACTGGCCCTATATCGTGGTCCTATACGAATGGCCGTCGCTCGCGGGACGTACATCTCATTGCCGACGATGACTACCGAATGGTCTACAGTTGCTCCGAGTTTGAAGTCAACGGCACCCTTACAGCCAAAGGTATGCTACACTTACCCCACATTCCAGACTTTACTCTACCCTACCCTTACCTTCCGTTCATTACTTATATTATTTATACGTATATATAGAAAGACTAAGATTGTTGTCTCGTGAAAACAATACCAAATTGCATGACTGGTCCGCCTATACGGAGCTATTGGCCACACGATTGCCGACACTGGTATCCCTGCGTATTGCCGATTTGATTGGTAACATGAAACCGATGACGACATCGACATCCACATCGACTTCGTCTAAGACAACAACAACAACACCGACGCTAACAACCGCTAGTCAACAATCGCCGGTATCTGAATCATCAACAATACCATCGACAACAACGACAACAACAACAGATTCACAAGAGGATGAAGATGTAATGTTAACTGGAGTAACATCATCATCACCACCACTACCATCATCACCAACAACATCATCATCATCTACAACACCATTACAACAACAGTTTCAAGGGTCTACTACTACTACTGTAGCACAGTTACCTACAATCATAGGGTCGTCACCACCATCACCAGCAGCAGCATCATCATCAACAACAACAACAACAATAGCAACAACTGTATTATCATCGACGACTACAGGTGCTGATACTACTGCTGCTGCTGCTGCTGTTACTACAGTATCTGGTGAGGAACAGGCCATACAAGCCTTATCCGACAATTGTCTAGAGTTTGGCGAAAAAGATATCTCTAAGCCTGACTTTGAACAAATGGTCGGCACTTGGAAGGTATGTCCAGAAATTTTTATTAGATCTAGTATTTTATTGTTCATATGGATAATATTGTTAATATTAATAATAATAATAACTTATAAATACTATATATGTTTTCTAATTGAATGCACTGTTAGCTACGCTATACTAACAACTGGGTCGACAATATCGAAATCTGCGATACAGTAGAGATAGCCTACGATAAGGACAACCATTATGGCCAACTTAAGGCTATGTAAACAACAATTAATTAATTAATTATGACATAACCAAACAACCAAATTATTGTTTATTTTTGTTTAAACACATTTGTTTGTTTGTTTGTTTGGTGTGGGCACCGATAGGCAAAACTCAAAATTGGTAGCCGTAGGCATTGAACGAGCACTGGGCAACACTAGTATGAGCGAAAGGATTATGGATGGAGACAAACGATGCCTAAATAGTTTACTGTATGTCGACTATAAAAATATTAAAGCCATCTATTCGTGTTGCGAAAATTTCGACTACAATGGACTGGGCATTATAGGTACCGGTGCTGTGTGTGTATGTGTGTGTGTGTGTCGGGGGTCGATGATGTAGAGGGGGGACGGGGTGTTTTTTAATATTAGAATAAACTGATTGATGTCCAATAGATATTGATTGTAGTAATAGTATTATTTTTAGGGGGAGGGGGAGTTTTAAAATTATTAGTTGAAATTTAATAACAATTTTTTTTATTTGTAGATTAAAGTTAGATTTAGTTATATAATGTTAAATAGATTTATTAGTATTATTATATATACATAATACAATTGTTAGCACTAATACTAATTTCAAACTACCGTTCCTCTATTTTTTTATATATAGAAAATATCAATATTATGGTTAGGCCTAATTCAACGGCCGGTATCGATCTGAGCAAATTTCGCCAATTTTTGGCCGACAAATTCCGTGACGACACCAACGGTCCATCATTGCAGATACTGCTCGATCATATGCGACCAGTAAACCAGGTAGTCGACAGGTCTAACAACACTGTCAGCTGTCCCAATCTGGATGACTACGCCCAGCCTAATGTCGACTTTAGAAAAGTTAGTTTTTTTTCAACAACAAAAAAAATAAATTCCTTTAACTGTAACTTTTGTGTGACAACCCATCCATTGATTGTTTTTTTTTTTTTTTTGAATAGTTATCCGGACACTGGGATGCCGTCTACTCGTCCAATAGTCGCTGGGATAGAGACTGTATAACCACTGATGACGGCTATATAGAATCGGACGACACTATCGTACAGCAAAAACAGTAAGTGTTATGTCCTAACTGTTTATATAACATACATAAGCTATTAGATAATTACTTTATATATTTAATACTATTTTTTTGTCTCACTCTCTCTCTCTCTCCCATTTCCTTCATCCATAAGCACCGGTAATCAGACACATAAAGTAACGATCAAACACTCGAAAGTTAATCCCAACCGACAGGAGGTTATGGTTGATAATACATACTTTCATTCGTGGTTTTTGCTAACCGATTACAAGTAAACAAAACTATTATATACTTTAAATACATACCTGTAATAAACTAACTGTTCTCTCTCTCTCTCTCTCTCTCTCTCTCTCTCTCTCTCTCTCTCTCTCTGTTTTATCTAACGTTTCACTAATATATTGTTTATTTTTTTTAAAAATTGTTTGTTAGGACATACCGTTTACAGTATACCTGTTATGTAAAACTTTCCAAAGGAAAGAAACGTAAAATTGGTAATTAAATTCAAAAAAAATTAATTAATTATTTATTTTTGTATAAAATTTTTAATTTAGGAATAATGTAAAAAATATTTTAATATTTTTTGTTTATAAATAAATAATTTTTTTCTTAATTTTTAACTTTAATTTTGTAGATTTGTTACGTTTGTATACCCGTGGCATTGAAGCCGACAAATTGGACAAACAATTGGTGGTTAAGTTAAAGAAAATGTCGACACGTATTGGGAAGTCATTGGAAATGATAAATAGGACCCAATGTGCACCACTAAAGTCCACCTAATAATTAATGTTCCCGTAATTAATGTTCCCGTAAATAAAGCCCCCCCCCCCCCCATTAAATAATTTTTAATTTAAAAGGTTAATTTAATTTAACTTTAATAAAATGTATTAATTATTTTATTTTTTTAAACATTTCCAATATTGTTAATAAAAAAAAATAATATAAATAATATAATTTTTTAAACTATATTAGCGTTAATAAAGTACAGTACAGTTTATACTTACTGTATATAATAATACTAATAATAATAATAATAATAAATAAATAAAAAATAAAATTAAAAAATTTTATTACAATTTTTTAAAAATTAAATATCATAAAAATCTCTTTTTTTTTGTAAAAAAAAATAAAAATAAATTAAATATCTGTAGATTTATTTATACAATATTCATTAGATTTGATAGTAAAAAAATTGCATAATAAATCTGTATGTTTAGATTTTCTAAAATTTATCATAACATTATCATGAACCATTCGTCTAATTTCCCAATTGGACATGGTCCATTTAGCTAGATCATGTAGAATTTCATCTGATAATGGTCGATTCGAAAAATTCGATGACATCATTGATTTAAGCAAATAACGTAACTGGGCAATTTTATTATCTGGACATATTGGTGTCCTGTTTATTTATTTTTTATTTAATTAATTAAATAAAAAATTATATACAAGATAGTGCCAAAATTTTAAAGTTTAAATTTGAGTAATATGGTTAATACAGTTAACTTTAGGCTAAGCAAGGTAACTTTTGTATACAGTTACCTAATATTAGATAAGTTATATATAAAGTATCTTGGCTAAAGCATTACATAATATTACAGCAAATTTAAACTTTTAAATGGCATAAACTGTATAATTATATATATATATACAGTTTATGCCACATAAAAGTTTAAATTTGCTGCAATATTATGTAATGCTGTAGCCAAGGTACTTTATATAACTTACCTAAAATTAGGTAACTGTATACTAAGTTACCTTGCTTAGCGTAAAGTTAACTGTATACACTATATAACTTAAATTTAAACTTTTAATTGGCATTATCTTGTATATAATATTAACAAGATATAAAACAAAATAAATTAGTTGTAAAAACATACTTGTCCATTTTAAATAGTTCATAGTACATAATTGTGGCCAAACTGTAAATATCTGATTCAAGATAATAATGACCCGTAATGTATTCGTTAGCCATGATATTAGTAGTTAATTTATCAATGAAATTGTTTCGGATTTTAGTTATACCGAAATCGCTTAATTTACAAAATACATTATTATTATTATTATTATTATTACTATTAATATTATTGTTAACTACTGGTAATTGATTGTACAGAATATTCTGTGTTTTAAGATTTCTGTGTATAATCGGTGGCCGTAATGAATGCAAATAATTCAAACCTAACAATATTTCAATAGATAGTTCGCATGATATAAAATAATCAAATTCAATCAGTTTACTATGAAATTTATCTGGCTGATATTCTAAATTAATTGTCTTAAAATCTAATATTTCTTCTAAATTATACTGAAAATAATCCATTTTAATGAATAGTCTATCGTTTTCGATCCATGAACCGTAATAACCGATTAGATAATCGCTATTTAATTTCGATAACATAGTTATTTCGTTAAGATTTTTAATTTCTAATAACAAAAAAAACATAACATTATTTATATAAAATATATAATTGAATTATAATACTTGCATGTATGGTTATATAATATATCATATATATATTATGTATACATATGGGAGAATATTCGGTTAGAGACAGGTAATCAACTTATTAGTATATATATATATAATATCTAATAAACCATACATTCAATATTAAAATGACCATGGTAATAAAATCTAGATAATATTGAACTTAACATTTTTGTATTTGGTCAGTTTTTGTTGTTGTATTAATTGTAACTAGATCAAAGTAGTTAATAATTAAACTATTTCATGTAGATGCTATTTCATCTAGTTAATTTTACAATTACAATCAACAACAACAACAACAACAAAAATAATCAATTACAATACTGTTGAGTTTAAATTTATTTATAAATATACCCCATTGGTCAATTTAATTTTTTATTAATTCAATATATGATTTATTTAGATATATAAACTAATGATTGAAATACCTGTCTATCGGCTAACTTTCCCAAATGCATACACCATATACAGTATATATAAGTTATAATATATACATATTAAATATATTTAAAAAACATATTTTTTATAAACATATTGCTTATATATATAATATATATAAATTATATTTAAAAATATATTTAAAAAATATATTTCTTATATCAATATATATTTATATTAAATATATTTTTAAAAATATATTTCTTATATATATATATATACAGTATATATTCCAGTATTTTTTAAAATACTATTTACTAACCATTTAATAAAACCAATTTAATAGCATATTTATGTCCATCGGATCGTTTGAGAACTTCATTAACAATTCCAAAATCACCATGACCAATTTGTTTTATTAGAAAATAATCGGTCGAATAATTTTCGTTAAGCTGATTATCAAGTACATTATTATTATTATTTGATATATCTACAATAATTGTAACATTTAATTAATTAATTGTAATTAATATTATTTTTGTTTTGTGTTTTTAATAATTTTAATTAAATAATAATAATAATAAAAACCTATTGTTTTATCAATAGTTTCAAATTCATTGGTTTCAGTTATATGTGTTTTAAAGTTTGGAAAATATTTTTGTTGAACTGGCGGTTGGTTTTTGTTATCAAATAATGTCCTAATATTAGAAACTGAATGTCTCTCTAAAAAAAATTATTTATTTATTATTAATAAAATAAAAATAATCAAAAATTATAAATACTATATATTACTTACTATTAAATAGTTTAGTCCAATCACTTTGATTACTAGTTGTTTTAGTTTTAACTAAACTTAAATTTTGTTTAGGTTTGCATGAAACTATAGGCATTTTAACAAATGTATCAGGTTTAATATTTTTATCTTGATATTTAGTTATTGCTGAAAAATCTATATATTAATTTTAAAAAAAATAAAATTAATTTTAATATCAATTGTAATCAAAATAATAGACATATATATTTATACCAAACTCGTTGCTAAATGCTATTGAATTTCTTGATTTTGTTGTAGTCAATGATTTTTCATTTAAAATACTAGAATTTTCTATTTAAAAAAAAATTAAAATTACTATTTTTTATAAAAAAAAATAATTTTTTAATTAATTTATATACTATCTAAATTTATTAAAAATGGATTTCTTCTACGTGGAATTGGTGGAGGTCTTTTATTTTCATTAATTTTTAAGTTTCCAATTTTATCTAAATTAAAAAAATAAAAAAATTTTATTTATTAATTATTTAAAAATTATTATTTGTTTTTTTTGTTTGAATTTTTACTAACCATTTATTTCAGATACTATTTGATTATTTTGACTAAAATTTCTATTTAATATTTCTATAGAATTTAATGATTGATTTTCAATTGTACTGTTATTATTATTATTATTATCATTATTTTCATCATCATCAATTTTATTATATTGTCTATTATTTCTTAATTTAATATTGTTGATTGTTGTGTCAAATGTTGTGGGTGAAATTTTGTTTTTTAATGGATCCCGATCAATATGTGCCAGATGTTTGTAATCAAATGGTGGACTAATGTGTTCAGGTGTTATTGGTGTTTGTTTTTTATCCTGATGCTTTTTGATGTTTTTTGAAGGGATCGTTGGATAATCTATAAGTTTAAAAAATTATTAATAGTAGTAATAGTAATAGTAATAGTAATAGTAATAGTAATAGTAATAGTAATAGTAATAGTAATAGTAATAGTAATAGTAATAGTAATAGTAATAGTAATAGTAATAGTAATAGTAATAGTAATAGTAATAGTAATAGTAATAGTAATAGTAATAGTAATAGTAATAGTAATAGTAATAGTAATAGTAATAGTAATAGTAATAGTAATAGTAATAGTAATAGTAAAAGTAATAGTAATAGTAATAGTAATAGTAATAGTAATAGTAATAGTAATAGTAATAGTAATAGTAATAGTAATAGTAATAGTAAAAGTAATAGTAATAGTAATAGTAATAGTAATAGTAATAGTAATAGTAATAGTAATAGTAATAGTAATAGTAATAGTAATAGTAATAGTAATAGTAATAGTAATAGTAATAGTAATAGTAATAGTAATAGTAATAGTAATAGTAATAGTAATAGTAATAGTAATAGTAATAGTAATAGTAATAGTAATAGTAATAGTAATAGTAATAGTAATAGTAATAGTAATAGTAATAGTAATAGTAATAGTAATAGTAATAGTAATAGTAATAGTAATAGTAATAGTAATAGTAATAGTAATAGTAATAGTAATAGTAATAGTAATAGTAATAGTAATAGTAATAGTAATAGTAATAGTAATAGTAATAGTAATAGTAATAGTAATAGTAATAGTAATAGTAATAGTAATAGTAAAAGTAATAGTAATAGTAATAGTAATAGTAATAGTAATAGTAATAGTAATAGTAATAGTAATAGTAATAGTAATAGTAATAGTAATAGTAATAGTAATAGTAATAGTATTTAAAAAATATAAATTATTATTACCTGTTAAGTTTGATTTATAGATTTTAGACGAAAAATTTATTTTGTAATCAATATAATTTGATATTTGCGAATAGATTTTTGTTTGAAAACTTTGCATCAATTTATCATAATATATAAAATTTCCCATTACATCATCATCATTATTATTATTATTAGCAAATAAACTAATTGCGTTAAATGTAATATTTTTGTTTTTAGCATAATAATCAAAAATATTGAATACATGTGTATCCATCAAACAATTAGTTTCTAATTTTAATAATGATTGATTAATTGATAAACATATTAATCCAGATGAAAACAGTATCAATTGTTTAATTGAACTAATTTTTGTATAGTTTTCAACTATAATTTTTTTAGATTTACAATTATTATTATTATTATTATCTGAGTAACTAATTATTGAATTATCTGATGATAGAAAATAATTGTAATTATTATCTAAATATAACATTTTAATGTTAGCTATGTCTAGACATAACGGTTTTGATGATTGATGATTGCCATTAATAATAGTAACCCGATTACCCCAATAGTAGACTAAACCCGATTGGGTTAATACAATAGATTTATGACCCTGACACTTGATATAATTGATCTGGTTTGAATCGAAATAATAATCAGGTAATAAACTGGGTGTCTTGATTTTATCTGGATAACTATTATTAACAAATATTTGCTGATAACCATTGAAACCCCAACCGTATAATCTATTATTTGTGGTCAGTGCCAGACAATGATAATAACCGCACGAAATCATTATAATTGTTGAATCGGTTGAATCACTAATCATATTATTGGGTATACGTTGGGCTATTAAAAATCTATCATCATAATCTGATCTAGCTAATTGACCATAATAATTGTTGCCCATTGAATATAGTTGACCCAGGTGATTTAGGGCTAGCAAATAATTGTTACCATTATAGAATTGTTCGATAGTTTCATTGGATAATTCATCGATAAATTGTGCATAGTTTCCGGGTATTGAATAAATTTTGCTTGCTAAATAACCAATTGAATAAACTTGATCATTTTTTGTTATCAATATACAAGTTGTTTCACTATTGAATTCACAGACAACTGATTTAAATATATATAGTTTTTTAATTTGTAGTTTTAATTGATTAGGCAATAAATTACATATTGGAAAGTTATCTAATATTTTTGATGACATATTTTTTTTACTAACTTTTAATTAATAAGTTTTAACATATTTTAAGAAAATTTTTTAAAAATTAAAAATAGTTTAACAAATAACTAATTATAAACTAAACTAATTATTAACTAATAATATTTTTAATATCACTGTCTTATATAAACTATACTAAAATAATTATATAGTATTATATTTTTTGTGATTATATCTAGGATTTTATATTTATTTTTTAATTAAATATTATCTCAATTTTATAATAAATATTTTAAATATCAAGTAATACTGTATTTAAATGTCAAGTATTTATTAAATTATATTTTTTTCATTGATTAGATTAAATAATATTTTTTTTAGTAATATTTTAATGAATTTCCACATTATTTAAATAATTTAATTAATATTTAATATTATTATTAAAATATAATCTAAATTATTTACAAATTTTATTTTTTTTTAATTTAAAATAGTTGTAAATTATGTTTAAATATTAACTAAAATTTTAAAAATTCTTTATTAATATTTTCATTTAAAAATAAGTGTTTTTTGTAAACACTTCAATTACTTATAAAAATCATTGAATAATTTAATTTAAAGAAAATATTTATTAATCATTTAAGTGTCTTAAATTATATTTTATATTATATATAAATTAATGTAATAAACTTATTTACAATTATTTACAATTATTTTATTATCAATTATCTTTGATATTTAAAAAGTTATTTTTTATTTTAGTACTAAATATTTTTTTTAATGTTTTATAATAAATTAATGAATATGTTTCTATTAATTTTTATTTATATTTGCTTTTAATTTTAATTTAGTTATTTTAATAAATATTAGTAGTAGTATTTTATTAAAACAATTTAATCAATATAATATAAAACAATTTTAGTTATATATACTAGTATTAGTGTTGGCAATAAAGAGAAATTTATAAAATAATAGAGAAATTTCTAGAAAGTTTCTAAAAGAAATTTCTAGAAAGTTTCTAAAAGAAATTTCTATCTATGGGATCTCCATGTTAATTATGTTTTCTCGATAAATGTTATTATGTAACAATACATTGGTTTTACAAGTAATAATTAAATATTAGTATTAATATTTTTATAATTAATTAAAGTAAAAATTAATTTATTTAATTATCTTAAATTCTTATATATATAATAAAATGATTATTAAAATTTTAGAAAACTGATTATTATTAAATAATTATAATTATTTTACATATAGGTATCGCATTTTGTATAGTAGTGTATAGTGTAATGTAATATGATTAGTAGTATGTCTCATTATTTATATATTATTTCAATAGCTATAGATATGGGGATCCCATAGTATAACAATAAAATTAAATTTCTATAGAAATTTATTCCTGAGAAATTTTCTAGAAACTTTCTATTTGCCCATCTCTAACTAGTATATATATATATATATATTGATATATGTTTTATGCGATAATTACTATTAAAATTTTTATATACATTATATATCAATATATATATATATATATATATATATATATATATATATATATATATATATATATATAGTATATTATTTAGTAATCGCCCAAAATTGTTATAATTAGCAAAAAGTATAGGAAACACTGTATTAATAGTTGCGAATAAAATTGAAAGTCCATTAAAACAATGTCCAACAGGTGTATACCTAACGGCAGGTGCGATGAATAGCGTTCAATATATGTAGAAAGTTTGTAGGCCTGTCCTCTACTATAAATAATACTATTACCACCACCACCGCCACCAGCACTACTATCGCCAGTTACTATACTAATATTATTTTGTCGACTAATAATTATTTTAATATTTATGGCCACAAACAATGAGTTTAGCTGTTTATATAAACTGTTTGCCTATAAAATTGTAATAAATATCGACATTATTATGTAATTTAAAAAAAATTTGAATGTTATTTATAATATTAATATATTAAATATAATATTTATAATAAAAATATTATATATTGTAATAAGAAGTTTATCTATAAAAAAACATATACATTTGGTAGACATTGTGTTTAATTAATAATATAATATATATATGTCATGACCGCTAATCATGAACGGTATGACCCGGGTATAGATGGATAGGTTAGGTTAGCAAACGCTTTGCGCATTCAATTTAATTATAAAAAAAAATTACAAACAAACAAAAATTTATATGAAAAATTTTATTTTTTGATATACAATATATTAATTTATTTAAATAATAATATTTTTATTATAGTATCTAATTTGAATTCAAATTATTAGAGATATTTAATATTTTATTTTTAAAAAAAAAAAATATTTAAATAAATTATTAAATATATAAAGATTTAAATAAATTATTAAATATATAAAGATTTAAATAAATTATTAAATATATAAAGATTTAAATAAATTATTAAGTATATAGATATTTACATTTTATTAATTAATTATTATAATTATAATGAATGCATAAAATGCATGCTTATTATTATTATAAATATATTGAATTTTTAAATTAAACTATTTTAATTAAATAGCTATTTCTTGATTTATATATATAAATATAGTATAATAATAAACAAATTAATTATGATTATTATTAACTAACTAATTAATTAATTAATATTAACTGATTAATTAATTATGATTAATATTAAATAATTAATTAATTATTTATTTATTATTAACTGATTAATTAATTATGATTAATATTAAATAATTAATTAATTATTTATTTATTATTAATTTTATTCATATATTCTGATGCCATTTGACGTACACTTTTTGATACATTATTATCATTAATATTATTATCATTATTACTATCTTTAATATTAACATTAGTTTCTAAAATCATTGGCGATATATTGAAACTAACTTTTTTCACTTTTTTATCAATTGTTTTTGTTGTTGACTTTTGTTGTTGTTGTTGTTGTTTTTGGATATTATTTTCATTTTGCTTTTTAACATTTAATTTATTATTATTAGTAGTAGTATTATTATTAATGACTTTAGTTTTATCATTTTCAATTAATTTACTAACATTATTGTTATTAATAATAATTTTATTAGTGTTTCCAATTGGTGTTTTACTATTGACTGTATTTAAATTATTTTTAATTTTTATAATACTATTAACACTATTATTATTATCGCTGACACTATTATTATCATTACTTGAATTATGTTTAATATGAATAATATTAGTTTTACTATTAATTTGTTTTTCATTCAAAATATTATTATCAATAATCACAGAATCAGTGATTACTTCATTAATAATATCGTTATTATTATTATTATTATTAGAAATCTTATTATTAGTATTATCCTCTTGACTATCATCACCATCAACCTGATGGTCGATGTTGTTGTCGTCCAACACGACTGTCCTGTAAGTCATATGCATTTCCTGGGCATAGAAATCATCGAAACACTGATAACTAGTTTCTTGCAATTCGTTTGTATTGAATATCTGCCAAACCCTGCCGTCACCGGTTGTGGCCGTCTTTATCGATATGTGCCGCTGATAGGACACCGTTTGCTCCATTGCTATGAACTGGTGTTTCAGATGATCCATTGGCTGAGGTGTCGGCTGCAGACACCGGTCGCCCGATTCGGAGCTCTTGTATTCGCCGCAAAAGTACAGCAATCCTTCGTTTGTCAGAAACAGTGTCCGACTGCCCGACGGACATACCGTACGAATGTTGTTCAGGTTGGCCATGATTTTCGGTACAAAAACATCGTCAATCTCCCGATGACCTAACTGATGGCCACCGTTGTGACCCCAACTGAACACATAGCCATCCAATGTTAGCGCGTAGGACGAGTCGGCCGCGCAATGCACCGAACGGGCAGCCAATCGGTAAGTGTTTGTCAATCGGATTTTCGTGAATCGGGCAATCGTTACGTACTTACCGCAGCCCACTTGACCGTATCGGTTGTGGCCCCAGCCGTAAACATCGCCGTCGACAGTCAAGGCCAACGAGTGATAGTTACCGCACGCCAGTTGACTGACCTGTTGGTGTTTGTCGTCAAAATCGGCTATTATGTCCGGTCGTAAATAAATGCCCACTCGAGCAGTGTTAGCCGTAGTGGACCGACCCAACTGTCCCTTGTTGTCGATACCCCAACTGTAGACTCGGTTGTCGTCGGTTACGGCCAACACAAATGTAAAACCGCAGACAAATTGCCGAACTCGGTGATGACAGAGTTCGGGTATCAGTTCGGGTGCGTCGACGGCCTGGTCGTGACCCAAACCAAGCGAACCGAACCAATTGGCGCCCAAACCGTAGACCAGATCGTCGTCTCGGGTGACAAACAACAGATTGAAACCGAATTCGTCGTCAAATACGTGAAACAGTTTGACTTTTCGGCGAAAGTTTTCGGGAATTTTCGAGCAAATGTCAAATTTGGTCAAAATTTTTGAATTCATTTTCTTTTCTGTTTTTGTTGTCGAAAATGTTTCACTGATTTTACTTTTGATTTGAATAATGATTTTTTTTTTATAGATATAAATATAATATATTTTTCATATCATTAATAATAATAATAGAAAACACAATTAATTAATTAAATAATTAACAAAAAAAATTAATTAATTAATATTTATATTATTATTAATTATATTATTATAAATACTACTACAGTACTACTAGATTATTAATTATCAAATAATAATAATGTAAAAGTTATTTATAATTTATTTTAGCTAATATTGATTAATATATTATTATTATTAATAATAATTAATGTTTAATTATTAAAATTTTTAAATAAATAAAAAATTAATAACGTGTATAAAATATAAATTGTTTTACACTGATTTTTTTATATATATATATAATTATCACTAATAACTAAAATATTTCAAGCATTTATGTATTTATGAAATGTAACTATCTATTGTTAAAGATATTAAATATATTGTACTTATTTTTTTCATAATAATAATAATAATAATATCATAAATACAAATGTCGCTTAAAGTTTATAACAAAATGATAAAAACAATATATAATAAAAATATATATATATATTATCAGACATTAAAGTACAGTATATGTATTGAACTAATTAATTAATACTACTATTGCTATTGAAAATATCTACAATATTTATTAAGTCAATAAAAATATAATATTTATGCATCTAATGATATATAAATTTATAATACATATTATATATATATATCTAAAATACCGTATATTATAATACAATACCTGTTTATTACAATCTTTTTTATAAAAAAATGATAATATAATTAAATGTAATAAAAGGAAATATAGTATTATAAATAGTAATTATTTATTATAATAATTATTTATATCTAAATTAAATACCTGTAATTAGATGATGATATTGATATACACTGTAAACCTAAACAAATACAAACTAAACAATAATAAAAATAATAATATTAAAAAACAAAAATTGAATGCTTATAATAACAACAAAAGTTTTAATTAATAGTATTAATAATACAATATAATGATATTTATTAAAAAAAATAAACTATATTTATTTGAAAACAATATTTATTTTTTAATGTTAACCAATGCTATTGATTCTATATAAATAAATTGTAATAATAAATAATTGTAATTATTATTATTATTATAAATACTATTATAATTAATATTATTCAGTTGTGTTAATGTTGTTGTTTTTTCAATGCAAACATTTAATGTTGAATAAGCAAATTTGCAAAAAAATAATTTTATGTTTAGTCATTAATAACATTAAATTTATTTTATTTTTTATATAGCATTTATAATGAAAATTTAATGTTAAACAAGACATTTAATTGTATTAGTGTTTAACTTTATTTTATATATAAATATTAATATTAATATTATTTATATTAGATTTTTTTTTTGTTATTAATTATTTATAATTATATTTAAGTATTAATCAAATTATTAAATGTTTATTAATATTATTTTTTTATTTTTTGGTATTGAAATAATACTAAATAAAATTCCAGATTCTGATATTATTATTATATTAATTACATAAAAAGATAAATATAATAATTTTGAATTTTTAAAAGAAAATTTTATTTAGTTATCAGATACACACAAAATGTTTCATAATTATAATATAATAATAATAATAATAATTGTAAGATAATTAATATTTAGCAATATTATTAACAAACAAACAAACAAAAACAATATATGATATAATTACAAATATTTAATTACAGTTTAATAAATAAATTTATTTTATAATATTAGTAAAAATAATGTCTAATAAATTTTGTAATATAAAGTACCTTATATTTGCTAATAATTAGTATATTTAGAAACATTTTAATTTAAATAATTAATAATTATTAAATTATTAAATAGACTTTTTTTTAGAAAATATTGACTTTATATATGTTTTTTTTTTAATTTTTCAAATAACTGCCAACTATTTTATGGGTAATAAATCAATTGTCTTTTAAAATCCCTATATAAAAGATAGCATTGACCAAAAAATAGCAAACAAATAGCAGTTTATTTGCATAATTTAACTTCAATCAAACAATTATATTAATTACTATATAATTTTTATAGTAATTTAGTTTTTTTTTCAAAATAAATTATTATTTTAAAATAATTTTAATGTATTTTTTGTTATTTTTAAAATAATTAGTTAAGTCATTTAAGTAACTATGAAAATTAACAGTAGTGTTTTATATAAAAAAATTTATTATTTTTGTTATAACTATGATATACTGTATGATTCTACAATATTGTAAAATTATTATTATTATTATTATTATTATTATTATTATTATTATTATTATTATTATTATTATTATTATTATTATTATTATTATTATTATTATTATTATTATTATTATTATTATTATTATTATTATTATTATTATTATTATTATTATTATTATTATTATTATTATTATTATTTCCTAATAAATATTGCTGAAATCAAAACAATATTTTACAATAAACAAAAAAAAAATAATAATTACTAAAAAAAAATAAATCTAGTTTTATAGAAGTTAATAATTAATTAAATAGTTAATAAATAATTATATAATAAAAAAACAATAACAATATTGTTATTTTATTAAAATATTTTAACATAAATATATAGATATAATAAATTTTAAAAATACAGTAAATGAACCCATAAAAACTTAGCTAATTATGATATTTATTTGTATTTTTAAAAAATATTTTTTTATTGTAATTATAAATTAAGTTTTTATACAATTTATAATTTATTATATATATATATAAATATTAATTATACTAAAATCCTAATTCATTTTATACTATTATATTTAAATTAGACTTAAGGTGCAATTATTTTAATGATGATAATAATAATTAACAATTTATTTATTTTTATTATCAAACAACAGTGTTTATACTGATTTTTTTATAAATAGATAATATATATATATATATATATAAATATATATATTAATAGTAAATAAAATGTTTAATTTTTTCGCAAAATATTGTAAACATTGTGTGACAAAAATATATTTACAATTTTTATATACAGTATATACTGTATATATATATATATATATATATATACTATAATTATAATTATAAGCAATGTTTATATAAATTTAATGTAAAATATAATTAGATAATATAATATTTTTTTTTAAAAATCATTTCAATAAATAAAATGTTTATGATAATTATATAATTATATTTTATTATTATAGAAATAAATACAAATTAACTTTATTATACAGTTATAAAATTTTATTTATTTACTAAAAATTGACATTAAATCAAATTATATTATACAGTGTTATCTCAATATTGATATTAATATACTATATTTATTAATAACAAATTATTTATTATAATAATAATAATACTAAATAATGTATAAAAACAATAATAGATATAATAGATATATAGATCCCAAAGAAATTATCAATTTTGATAAAATCCTAACATTTAGTACACTGTTTGTCGGTATTAATACTACTGACCAACCATTAAACGGTAATAATAATAATAATAAATTGAAATACCTATTACTAACCAATCATACACTGGTCATCATATTTCTCTACTCAAATCTGATCCGTACGGTTGGCCAGTGTCTACTTGAGCCCGACTCGCCCTATCATCCGGCTATCGGGGACTTCAAAATATGGTGGGGAAAGCCCTATATATCCCATCAGGTAGTCTTTTTGATGGCCGTGGTATTTACACCATTGGTGGCCACATTGAACAGTTTGGCCACTAGCGATGATCGACACTGGATGCTACCGTTTCGCTACCTAAACGGTCTGATACCCGATAACCAGTTGGCACTGAACAATGACCCGGAATTGTTGACAAAATTCAAGCGCAAAGCGTTTGTTTCGTATAAAAATGCCAACCTATCCATCTATTCACGGGTCATACCGTTCATGATCAGCGTATTTGTTACCTATACCTTGCACCGGGATCACTGGCTACAGCTAGTCTATATGGCCCTGCCATGGACACTGTACGAAGGTTTATGGGCTTTCTATATATCATCGGTAACAGCCATACTGCCCGGCTGTCTGGAAACTGTATGCTACTATTTGCGGCTCCGGTACGCGGCTATCAATCGTCAAATCGATACACTTATCATGCACTATAAGTGGACATCTAGTAGACTAGGCAACACTACCACCACCACCACCTACACCAGCACTGGCATCACCGGTACTAAACTGAATCGATTGTTACGATCACTGGACTCAGTGGACAGTGATGTTCGCCAGTATAACCATTATTGGTCCAAATATTGTCTACTATTTATGCTGTCCTTTGTCCCACAACTACTGTTCGAGTCCTATGTATTCATATTTTTGGATATGAATACCAGTGTATTAGTCTTCTCCCTGTTTCTCAATATCAATATATTTGTATTGATGTCACAGATCATTGTTTTTGCCGCTTCTCTACATAAAAGTGTAAGTATTTTTGTTTTAGGTTTGTTGTTAATATTGCCGTAAATTATAAATAATTTATAAATATTAGTATAAAGTAAATTAGTTTTTATGATTTTATTTTGTTTAGTTATTTGATTGATAGAAATTAATATATTATATTATAACTAATTAAACACAATGTATATGTTTTTTTGTTATAGATAACCAATTTTTTTTAATTTTAACATATTTAATAATATAAATATTATATTTAGGTTAAAAAAAATAATAAGATCTAATAACATTAAAATTTTATTAAATTACATAATAATATTTATTTTATTTTTTTTGTTTGGATAATGTTTATTACAATTTTATAGGCAAACAGTTTATATAAACAGCTAAACTCATTGTTTGTGGCCATAAATATTAAAATAATTATTAGTCGACAAAATAATATTAGTATAGTAACTGGCGATAGTAGTGCTGGTGGCGGTGGTGGTGGTAATAGTATTATTTATAGTAGAGGACAGGCCTACAAACTTTCTACATATATTGAACGCTATTCATCGCACCTGCCGTTAGGTATACACCTGTTGGACATTGTTTTAATGGACTTTCAATTTTATTCGCAACTATTAATACAGTGTTTTCTATACTTTTTGCTAATTATAACACTTATGGGTGATTACTAAATAATATATATAAAAATATATATTTATATATAATATATATATATATATATATATATATATATATATATATATATAAATTTTAATAGTAATTCTCGCATAAAACATATATATATATATATATATATATATATATATAACTAAAATTATTTTATATTATATTGATTAAATGGTTTTAATAAAAATAAATAACAATAAAAATATTACATGTATTAATATTTATTAGGCTAACTAAATTAAAAATGGGCAAATATAAATAAAAAATTAATAAAATTAAATTATTCATTATATAAAATTGAAAATTTTATTTATTATAAAACACTAAAATAAATATTAAGTACAAAAATTTAAAAAAATAAAACTGTTATCTTTTAAATATCAAAGATAATTGATAATAAAATAATTGTATAAAAAGTTTATTACATTAATTTATATATAATATAAAATATAATTTCAGACACTTAAGTGATTAAAAAAAATATTTTTTAAATTAAATTATTGAATAATTTTTATAAGTAATTTATAAGTGTTTAGAAAAAAAATATTTTTGTTAAAATAAAAATATTAATAAAGAAACTAAAATTTTAGTTAATATCTAAAATATAATTTACAACTATTTTAAAATCTTTATTAAAAAAATTAAATTTGAAAATAATTTAGATTAAATTACAATAATAATATTAAATAAAAATTAAATTATTTAAATATTGTGGAAAATCATTAAAATATTACTAATGAAAAATATTATGAAAATTGTGTTAATGTATTTGTATATTATAAATTTATATTAATTTTAGAAATAACATTAACTATTAGTACTTGATAAAATTAATATTTTTATTTAATTGACAAACAACAACAATATATAGAAAAAAAAATTTAATAAAACACGATTTAAAATATAATTTATTAAAAAAAATTAAAATTAAATTCTACAGTATCTAAAAAAAGCCAAAAAAATATTTAAGATAATTGTTATGGTTATAAAAAAAAAAATTAATTCTAAATCTATCTAGATCATTAAAATATTACTACTAAAAACTAAAAATAATAAACACTATTGTTTAATTATTAAATACAATTTTGTGCATGGGCAAATTATGATTAAAATCGGCATCAATTTTGACTGATTTTAATAATTTACAATTTATGTACAATTTATCAATCAGTTTACAATCGTATTGACCGCCAAAACTGCCGCCACAATCGTTAATATATAGATATTTTAAGGATTTCAATGTCAAGACGGCCGCCAATAGCCTATCGCATAGTGGCGTACGAATGGACAGGTATTCAATACGTTTGGGTAGACTATGGTAGAGACAGAAACCCAGAAAACCGCTAATATGGATACGATTTTGACAATATTGGCGACACTGGTCACTGGTCGGACACCAGTGGCTATCGTTTTCAATGCATAGTGTCAAACGTTTCAGTAGCCGTAATCGGCGAAACAGTGGCCACAGATTACGGCCGCTTTTGCTGTTAGGCTTGCGGTCGTCGACGAGTAGCCAATGATCGTATTGTTTGATTTGGCGAACCTGTACTACCAGTTCAAGTAATTGTGGCAAACGTTTAGTAATAATAGCCATCAGATTGACTAATTTAGTACACGACTCGTGCGATCCATAAAGTAATAGTTGTTTGAGTCTAACGGCAGCACAGGTAGTAGTGTTACTGTTATTGGTGTTGTTGTTGCCGGTTGTCATCAATTCAATGGCCTGACAATAGTCGGGACAGTAGTTGTCGTTGGCATAGCTATCGTAACCGAAACCTACCAGAACGGGCAGTTTGTTGTTGGCCACCAATGAGCCGATTGTCAGCAACAGATCGTGTTTGCCGTCGTCACCGACACCATAGCCAACTTGTATGTACAGTACACGCAATCGTTGGCAATAGTTTTCGGCAAACTGTTCACTAAAGCTACCGGTGCTGTCGTTGTAAATGAGTTTCAATTTTTTAAGTTTCCTAAACAATGTCGACTGAGCTCTTGTATGTCCACCGGTTGTTTCGGTAATTGTTGTATTCAACGATAGTTCAGTGAATTGTAACATTTCCGCCGATGATATAGTCAGCGACGGTAAATCTGGACAATAGTTTGCGACCAAATTTTGGACATCGAGACTAACTAATAATAAGTTACGCAAATCCAAGTGCTGTAACTGTTGGCCAAATTTTTCGTAAAATCTATGGACAAGTTTATCGGACAAACAATAGTGATGTAAACTGTTTGGTAGAAAACTAGAAATTTGTTGACAACTATCAACCAAATCGGCGACAATCTGGTCGGTCATATAGTTGACGGCTAGATAACCGAAATGTTTTTGTTTTCGTATACATTTCCCGATGTTTTCATAGTTATCGAAACGTATGTCCCGTATGTAGTCCAGGATAGCCGGTCTACGGTAGCCAACCCGTTGCCACTGTCGGGACACACACTCGTACAGATAGCGGTCGTCAAACTCTGGCAGATAACTGAGCAATAGTTGTACCAAATCATCGCCAAACCGGTCAAATGATGACCTACTACTGGTCATGTCGTTTAATTGACCGGTCATTTGAATATATATATATAAATTTAGAGAATATATTCAATAACAAGAAAAAAATATTTAAAAAAAATTGTAAATAATTTTACAAATTATATATAAATTATATATTATTAGTATAATTCACATCAAAAAATTATTTTAGTTAAATAAATTTTACTAATATTTATTATACAGTGTTTTACAGTAAAAATTGTTTATTGTTATTGTCAATAACTTATTGAATATAGAAATCTAATAAATAGTTTATAATATAATCTGTGTTTTTTTTTGTTAATTTATAAACTATTATAATTTATATGATAAAAGAAAATTTTAGTGATAAATGTTTTCAATATTTATTTATTTACTTTTATTATTAATTTTATATTGTATTAACTATACAATAATGTTTATTTAAATACTGTATATATATATAATATTATATATATATACTAATCCTTATTAACAAAATAAACCTAATATTAAATTATTTATAATTTTTAGCACAGTTTTTACTAATATCATGTTTTCACTGTTAGTTTTACTAAAACTTAGTACCAATGAATAAATGATATGAAATTTATAAGATTTAATTTTTATATATACATATTTTTCAACAAAAATAAAAAATGTTTAATGATTTAAACATAACTAATAATTTTATACTAATTCTAAAAAAAATTCAATTTTATATAAACAAAATAACTGTATTTATATATAATAATGTTAGGTTTTATTTATTATTTGTCAGGATTATACTATGTGAACTAGGTACTTTATTGAAGTCACTTAATAATTAACTATAGTTTTAGTTATAAATTTTTTTATTGTCATTATAGTTATAATCATTGTTAATAAACAAAATACAGTACATAGAGACTATACTTTTATCAAATTAATGATTTTAAACATTTTTAGTATTATTATTATTATTATTATTATTAGTTTGACTTTCATCGGGATATAACTGTTTGATTGGTTGGCAAATCATGAAAACCCGGTGTCTCTCCTTATAGGCAATTGATTTGTTAAACTCATTGTAAGTGCCGTGAATCCAATCCATTAGACCGAGTGAACCGAAGTTTTGATTGAATCTAATATTAGTTATAGAAATATATATATAAATATTTATAAATTAGATGTAATACACGGTAATATATAGTTTATAATAAATAATTTTAATATTGTAAATTATATTTAATTAATCAGCTATAGTTTAAACTTTTTTTTCAGAAAATTAAATTAAAAGTTAATCTGGATTTTATTTTATTTTTTAAAATTCAATTTACATTTAGTTGTTTTTAAAATTATTAACTATACTTAATAATAATAATAATACTGTATTTTTATAATTTAGAGTATATGTTTAGTCATAATTTTTTATATTGACATTATAGTTATAACTTATAGTCATTGATAATAAACAAAATACAGTACATATAACTTATACTTTTATCAAATTAATGATTTTTAATATTATTAGTATTATTATTAGTTTGTCTCTCATCGGGATATAACTGTTTGATTGGTTGGCAACTCATGAAAAACCTGTCTCTCTTATAGGCAATTGATTTATAAAACTCATTGTTAGTGCCATGAATCCAATCCAATAGACCAATTGAACCAAAGTTTTGATTGAATCTATTAGTTTTTAAAATAATTTTATATATAAATATTTATATTTAGAGAGAGAGAGAGAGAGAGAGAGAGACTAAATAATAAAAAAATTAACGTATACTTAAAGTGGTGATAGTCGTGAAATTCTGTTGATATCATACACGGAAAATGATAGTCAGAGTGATCGGCTAATGTTATAAATATAACCAAACCATACCATAACCATTGAGTTAATATATGTGAATTCATCAGAAATGGACCTATTTTAAAAAATATTTTTTTTTAAAAAATCATCTTTTGTAAAAAAACAATTAGATAATACAGTACAGTCCCAATTAGGTATAGGCAACTAGCACACAGCATATAGATAAAATGTAATAAAGAGAGAGAGAGAGCACAGTTACCCATAACAACTGGAATAGTATTGCTGAATACGTGTTCAATCGGATTACAGTAAAAAGCACTGATGGCTACCGGTGCCTGCCATCGATGATGGCGCTTATGTATCAAACGATACAGTGGTCCGTAGTGTAGGAGTCGATGAGTATAGTAAAAGCCAATCTCGTTGACAACCAGAAAGACAATATAATCGCCTACAATACGGGCCAGTGATGGTAACTGTCCGGTAGGAAACTGGCGCCACTCGAAAGCACGGGCTATCAAATAAAACAATGGCACCATTACCACAATCTGATTGAATAATACCTGTCCAATCAAATCTAGAAATTCAGATTTCGACATCTGATTGTATAATACGATATATGTTTAAAAAATAAAATAAATTAATAATAATAATAATAATAATATAATCTAATATAAATAAAACTAATTGTAAACTCTACTTACGGGAGTATATGGCTCCTGGATCTTGTACTTCAATAGAAAACCTGGTCGGCCGGTTATATCGGCAAACAGATAGAATAGGCCAACTGTCCAAAACATACCGTAAATGATACCTAATGTACCGTAAAAATTCATTGCAAACAAATTGTTATCAAACCATGTTGTTATCAATTGATCCCAATGGTATTGCAACCAATCGGCAAACATGTTTGACAATTATTATAAATATATATATATAAAGTTAATTATATTTAGATCACAAAAATTATTATTATTAATAATGTTAAATAATTATTTAACTTATTCAATTATATTAATTACTATACAAAATCTACTTTATATTTATTAAGAAAATATCGTATAATTATTGTAAAATCATTTTATTAGACAATAGTTTTTATTTTGAAAATAATTTGAGTTAAGTTAATGGTGTATCTTTAAAAAAAATGTTTATTCAAGTAAAATATGCTTATGTAATGTAGTTCACTGGAAAAAAACTTATTTTAAAACAAACAAAATGCATAGTGAATCATAAACTTAACTAATAATTGATACTCATTCTCTATGTTCCCTATGTTCCCTATGTTCCCTATGTTCCCTATGTTCCCTATGTTCCCTATGTTCCCTATGTTCCCTATGTTCCCTATGTTCCCTATGTTCCCTATGTTCCCTATGTTCCCTATGTTCCCTATGTTCCCTATGTTCCCTATGTTCCCTATGTTCCCTATGTTCCCTATGTTCCCTATGTTCCCTATGTTCCCTATGTTCCCTATGTTCCCTATGTTCCCTATGTTCCCTATGTTCCCTATGTTCCCTATGTTCCCTATGTTCCCTATGTTCCCTATGTACCCTATGTTCCCTATGTTCCCTATGTTCCCTATGTTCCCTATGTTTTCCCAGGTATTATTATATTAATTTATAAATCAGTCTAATATTGTACGTAATGTTTAATATAAATATTTAATTAATCAGTTATTAGTTTATATTTTTTCAGAAAATTTAATTATAAGTTAATATGGATTTTATTTGTTTTTAAAAACTCAATTTACATTTAGTTGTTTTTATAAATTATTTACTATACTTATTGTAATAATAATAATACTGTATTTTTTATCAAATTAATGATTTTTAACATTTTTAGTATTATTATTATTATTTGTTTGACTTTCATCGGGATATAACTGTTTGATTGATTGGCAACTCATGAAAACCCTGTCTCTCTTATAGGCAATTGATTTGTTAAACTCATTGTTAGTGCCGTGAATCCAATCCAATAGACCAATTGAACCGAAATTTTGATTGAATCTATTTGTTATAAATATTTGTTAATAAATATTTATAATTAGAGAGAGAGAGAGAGAGACTAAATAATTAATAAATTAATGTATACTTCAAGTGGTGATAGTCGTGATATTCCGTTGATATCATACACGGAAAATGATAGCCAGAGTGTATGGTTAGTGATATAAATATAACCAAACCATACCATAACCATTGAGTTAATATATGTGATTGCATCAGAAATATGCCTTTTTTGTAAATAAAATTTTTTAATTAAAAAAAATTATGTTTAGTAGAAAACTAAATTAGATAATACAATACATGAGCTAGCACACTACGAGAGAGAGAGAGAGAGAGAGAGAGAGAGAGAGAGAGAGAGAGAGAGAGAGAGAGAGAGAGTACAGAGCACAGTTACCTATAAATACTGGCATAATATTACAGATCACATGCTCAACCGGATGACAATAAAACGAACTAATGGCTACCGGTGCCTGCCATAGATGATGGCGCTTATGTATCAATCGATAGAGTGGTCCGTAGTGTACAATTCGGTGAGTATAGTAAAAGACAATCTCGTCGACAACAATAAAGACGATAAAATCGGCTACAATACGGGCCAGTGATGGTAACTGTCCGGTAGGAAACTGGCGCCACTCGGAAGCATGGGCCATCAAATAAAACAATGGCACCATTACCACTATCTGATTGAATAATACCTGTCCAATCAAATCTAGTAATTGAGATTTCGTCATCTGATTGTATAATACGTTATATGTTTTAAAAAATAAAATAAATTATGATTAATAATAATAATATATTCTAATATAAATAAAACTATCTGTAAACTCTAATTACAGGAGTATACGGCTCCTGGATCTTGTATTTCATTAGAAAACCTGGTCGACCGGTCATATCGACAAACAGATAGAATAGTCCAACTGTCCAAAACATACTGTATATGACAGCTAATGTACCGTAAAAACTCATTGCAAACAAATTGTTATCAAACCATGTTGTTATCAATTGATTCCAACGGTATTGCAACCAATCGGTAAACATGTTTTGACAATTATTATAATATATATATATATATATATATATATATATATATATATAAGTTAATTATATTTAGATTACAAAATTATATTATTAATAATATTAGTAATGTTAAATAATAACTAACTTATTCAACTATATATTAATTATTATAAAAAAAAATCTACTTTATATTTATTAAGAAAATATCGTAAAATTAGACAATAGTTTTAGTAGTTACAGTAGATAACTTGATTTAAGTAAAATATGCTTATGTAATGCACTGGGAAAAAAACTTGACACTTATTTTACACAGTAATGATTATACAAAATTTAATGCATAATATTTTTTTTTGTATTAAGAAAACATTTTAAAAATTCAAATCTTATATATAATTTATAATAGGGATTGCAATGATTCCCTTTCATGATCTTATGTTCCCTATGTTCCCTATTTTCCATATGTTCCCAATGTTCCCAATGTTCCTAATGTTCCTAATGTTCCTAATGTTCCCAATGTTCACTAAGTTCTCTTTGTTCCCTAATTGTACAGTTTGTCATTATATTTTTTTCTGTTATATCATTACAGTTATTAAATATTGATAGTTAATAAAACAATATACAGTACATAACAGCTATACTATTATTAGGGTTAGATTGAGATTCCCAGGGAGGGAAGTTCCCAAATAAAATCCCTCCAATTTTCCCGGAAAATATGGAAAATATATTATATTCCCTCCCTTGATCGTTAGAAAGGGAATATATAATTTGTCATACATTAAAAAGTACCTAATCTCAATGACTATGTGCTTCAATTGGGACCAGTATGTTAGTAATAACTCAATCAAAATATGATTCAAATATTATTAAATATTTAGTAAAAACATTAAATACATTTTGTAGACATTTACTATACAAACGTGTTTTTAATTAAACATTATGTAAAGTGAGTTAGGGTACGATAGGTGGTACCACAAGGAAATGTCTTCCCAGGGAATTCCCAGGGAACAGGGAATATAAGGAACTTATGGAAAATAAGACGAGGGAGGGAATCTGATCTAACCCTAACTATTATAAAATTAATGATTTTTATTGTTTGACAATTACAATATATATACAGTATATATATATATATATATATAAATATATATATATAAAGTTAATTATATTTAGATTACAAAATTAATATTATAAATAATGTTAAATAATAATTAACTTATTCAACTACTTTATATTTATTAAGAAAATATCGTAAAATTATTGTAAAATCATTTTATTAAGTTGCGTTCACACTAATGCTTATCCAAGTAGACTTGACTTGAACTCAATTCAAGTTTCAAGTAACATGTGTTCACATTGCTACACTTAAGTTTATCTAATTTTATAAAAATTAATCAAATTATTGAAATTATTTTATTAATTTTGATGTTAATTATAAAAATTATACAGAAATAATTAATTTTTATTTATTAAACAATTTAAATAAAATATTTTTGCTAGACAGCGAAGCAGGCATTTAAAACGTCATAATATTTACATATTATACTTAACACTGATTGGCTAAGTTTATAAGTCTCGTGTGTTCACACTGTGCTTAATGAAGTAAACTTACTTAGGGGTCACTACTGTACTTGAGTTAAGTCAAGGTAACTCAAGTAAGTACATGTGTGAACACCAAAACTTAAGTCAAGTCTACTTAGATTTTGTCCGTTTGAACGCAGCTTTAGACAATAGTTTATTTGGCAATAACTTGAATTAAATTATGTGTATATTTTTAAAAAAAAATCTTTATTTAAGTAAAATATGCATCTGATTGTATAATACGATATATGTTTTAAAAAATCTAATATAAATAAAACTCTGTTGTAAACTCGATTTACGGGAGTATACGGCTCCTGGATCTTGTATTTCAATAGAAAACCTGGTCGACCGGTCATATCGACAAACAGATTGAATAAACCAACTGTCCAAAACATACAGTAGATTATAGCTAATGTACCGTAAAAATTCAAACAAATTGTTGTCAAAACATATAGTTATCAATTGATCCCAACGGTATTGTAACCAATCGGCAAACATGTTAAATGACAATTATTATAATATATATTTAAAGTTAATTATATTTAGATTTACAGATATTTAGACAAAATTACTATTATTAATAATATTATTTAATAATAATTAACTTATTAAACTATATACAGTATTAATTACTATACAAAATCTACATTATACTATAAAGTAAAATATCGTAAAATTATTGTAAAATCATTTTATTAGACAATAGTTTAATTGAAAATGTCTTGAATTAATTATTGGTGTATTTAAAAAAAATGTTTATTCAAGTAAAATATGCTTATGTAATGTAATTCACTAGAAAAAAAACTTATGTTAAAACAAAAAAAAATATAATAATGTTCCTACTAACTATTATCTAATAAAATGATTTTACAATAATTTTAGGATATTTTCTTTAAAAATATAAAGTAGATTTTTTATAGTAATTAATATATAATTGAATAAGTTAATTATTAGTTAACATTGATAATATTAATAATTAGTTAACATTGATAATATTAATAATTAGTTAACATTGATAATATTAATAATAATATAATTAACTTTATATATATATATATATATATATTATAATAATTGTCAAACATGTTTGCCGATTGGTTGCAATACCATTGGGATCTATTGATAACTACATGGTTTGATAACAATTTGTTTGCAATGACTTTTTACGGTACATTAGGTATCATCAACGGTTTGTTTTGGACAGTTGGCCTATTATATCTGTTTGTCGATATGACCGGCCGACCAGGTTTTCTATTGAATTACAAGATCCAGGAGCCGTATACTCGCGTAAGTTTACAATTAGTTTTATTTATATAAAGTATATTATTAGTAATAATTTATTATTTAATTTTTAAACATATTGTGTCAAATAGTTATCGAAATCTAAATGTCTAGATTTGATTGGACAGGTGTTATTCAATCAGACAGTAGTAATGGTGCCATTGTTTTATTTGATAGCCCGTGCTTTCGAGTGGCGCCAGTTTCCTACCGGACAGTTACCATCACTGGTCCGTATTGTAGCCGATATTATCGTCTCTATGGTTGTCGACGAGATTCTCTTTTACTATACTCACCGACTACTACACTACGGACAACTCTATCGTTTGATACATAAGCGCCATCATCTATGGCAGGCACCGGTAGCCATAAGTTCGTTTTACTGTCATCCGATTGAACACGTATTCAGCAATATTATGCCAGTGTTTATGGGTAACTGTGCTCTCTCTCTCTCTCTTTCTTTTTTACTCTCTTTCTAAATGTTTGTGTGTTAGCTGGTAGTGTATTATCTAATTTGGTTTTCTACTAAACATTTTTTTATTATTAAAAAATTTTATTTCTTTAAAATAGGTCCATTTCTGATGCAATCACATATATTAACTCAATGGTTATGGTATGGTTTGGTTATATTTATATCACTAACCATACACTCTGGCTATCATTTTCCGTGTATGATATCATCGGAATATCACGACTATCACCACTTGAAGTATACATTAATTTTAATTATTTAATTATCTCTCTCTCTCTCTCTCTCTCTCTCTCTCTCTCTCTCTCTCTCTCTCTCTCTTTATCTCTTTCTCTCTAATTATAAATATTTATTTTAAAAATTTTAAAAACATTTACTAACAGATTTAATCAAAATTTTGGTTCACAAGGACTATTGGATTGGATTCACGGCACTAACAATGAGTTTTATAAATCAATTGCCTATAAGAGAGACAGGGTTTTCATGAGTTGCCAATCAATCAAACAGTTATATCCCGATGAAAGTCAAAATATTAATAATAATAATTATAATAAAATTAAAAATAAATATTAAAAATCGTTCAACTATATATTAATTACTTTAAAAAATCTACTTTATATTTTTTAAGAAAATATCGTAAAATCATTTTATAAGACAATAGTTTATTATGAAATAACTAGGATTAAGTGTAAGTTTTAAAAATTTTTTATTTAAGTAAAATTTGTTTATGTAATGTAGTTTACTTAAGGAAAAAAACTTATTTTAAAACAAAAAAACAAAAATGAATTTTATAAAAAAAAATATAATATTGTAATATTTTTGTTTGTGTTTAAAAAATTATTAAACAATACAAATCTTATTTATTATTATAATTATAAATATCCTAATTATTTTTAGTAGATTTTGCTTAAATTGATTATAGTTTTTTATTTTAGTAATTTATAATTTACTATAAATTTAGTAATTTAGTCTGGATTTTATGTTTTTAAAGATTCAATTTACATTTTGTTATTTTTAAAATTATTAACTGTACTGTATTTTTATAATTTAGAGTATAATTTTAATCATAATTTTTTTTATTGTAATTATAGTTATAATCATTGTTAATAAAGAAACTACAGTACATAGAAGCCATACTTTTATCAAATTAATGATTTTTAAAATTTTTAGTATTATTATTATTATTAGTTTGACTTTCATCGGGATATAACTGTTTGATTGGTTGGCAACTCATGAAAACCCTGTCTCTCTTATAGGCAATTGATTTGTAAAACTCATTGTTAGTGCCGTGAATCCAATCCAATAGACCAATTGAACCAAAGTTTTGATTGAATCTTTTAGTTATAAATGTTTTTAATAAATATTTATAATTAGAAAGAGAGAGAGAGAGAGAGAGAGAGACTAAATAATTAATAAATTAATGTATACTTTAAGTGGTGATAGTCGTGATATTCCGTTGATATCATACACGGAAAATGATAGCCAGAGTGATCGCCTAGTGTTACAAATATAACCGCACCAAACCATATCCATTGAGTTAATATGTGTGAATTCATCAGAAATGGACCTAATTTTTAAAATAATTTTTTTTTAAAAATAATGTTTAGTAGAAAACTTAATTAAATAATACAGTACACTCCCAACTAGCACACCACGTATAGGTAACATGTAATAGAAAGAGAGAGAGAGAGAGAGAGAGAGAGAGAGAGAGAGAGAGAGAGAGAGAGAGAGAGAGAGAGAGASAGAGCCGCAGTTACCCATAACCACTGGCATAATATTGACGAATATGTGTTCAATTGGATGACAGTAAAATGAACTCATGGCTACCGGTGCCTGCCATCGATGATGGCGCTTATGTATCAAACGATAGAGTGGTCCGTAGTGTAGAAGTCGATGGGTATAGTAAAAGACAATCTCGTCGACAATTAGAAAGACAATATAATCGGCTACAATACGGGCCAGTGATGGTAACTGTCCGGTAGGAAACTGGCGCCACTCGAAAGCACGGGCTATCAAATAAAATAATGGCATCATTACCACTGTCTGATTGAATAATACCTGTCCAATCAAATCTAAACATTCAGATTTCGATATCTATTTGACACAATATGTTTAAAAATTAATAATAAATTATTAATAATAATATACTTATATATAAATAAAACTAACTGTAAACTCTACTTACACGAGTATACGGCTCCTGGATCTTGAACTTCAATAGAAAACCTGGTCGGCCGGTCATATCGACAAACAGATATAATAGGCCAACTGTCCAATACATAAAGTAGATGATACCTAATGTACCGTAAAAAGTCATTGCAAACAAATTGTTGCCAAACCATGTAGTTATCAATAGATCCCAACGGTATTGTAACCAATCGGCAAACATGTTTGACAATTAATATAATATATATTTTTAGTTAATTATAGTTAATAGTATAATATAGTTAATTATATTTAGATTACAAAAATTATTATTATTAATAATGTTAAATAATTATTTAACTTATTCGACTATATATTAATTATTATACAAAATCTACTTTATATTTATTAAGAAAATATCTTAAAAATTATTGTAAAATCATTTTATTAGACAATAGTTTATTTGGTAATAACTTGAATTAAGTTATTTGATGTAATATTTTTTAAATGTTTATTCAAGTAAAATATACTTAACTAATATAGTTCACTGGAAAAAAAAAATTCAGACAAAATAAGTGTAGTCATAAACTCAAATTCAAATCTTAAAAAATTAAAAAATTCAAATCTTTTATATAATAGGGCTTGCAATCATTCCCCCCCCCCTTAGTCTCCCTTAATCTGGCGCAACCAATCGGCAAACATGTTTTACAATTATTATTATTAATTTAATATAAAAATTATGATTAGATTAAAATTTTTTTATTATTATTATTATTAATATTGAATAATAAACTTATTTTTTTGAAAAACAATAAACAAATATATAATTTAATTAATTTTGCTTAAAAACAACTTAATCATAATAAAAGAAAATATCAATTTAATTAAAAACAACAACAATATTAATTTTTAAAATTATTAACTATAACTAGTAAATAATAATAATAATTTTTAGGTATTTTAAAGTATAGTTTTAGTCATAAATTTTTGTATTGTCATTATAGTTATAATCATTGTTAATTAAGAAAATACAATACATAGCAACTATACTTTTGTCAAATTAATGATTTTTAACATTTTTAGTATTACTACTATTATTATTAGTATGTATTGTTAGTATATTAGTTTGACTTTCATCGGGATATAACTGTTTGATTGTTTGGCAACTCATGAAAACCCTGTCTCTCTTATAGGCAATTGATTTATAAAACTCATTGTTAGTGCCGTGAATCCAATCCAATAGACCAATTGAACCGTAGTTTTGATTGAATCTATTAGTTATAAAATTATTTATTTATTTTAAAAATATTTTATAATTAGAGAGAGAGAGAGAGAGACTAAATACTATACTCATCGACTTCTACACTACGGACCACTGTATCGTTTGATACATAAGCGCCATCATCGATGGCAGGCACCGGTAGCCATCAGTTCGTTTTACTGTCATCCGATTGAACACATATTCAGCAATATTATTCCAGTGGTTATGGGTAACTGTGCTCTCTCTCTCTTTCTATTACATTTTATCTATACGCTATGTGCTAGTTGCCTATACCTAATTGGGACTGTACTGTATTATCTAATTTAGTTTTTTACTAAACATGATTTTAAAAAAAAATATTTTTTAAAATAGGTCCATTTCTGATGCAATCACATATATTAACTCAATGGTTATGGTATGGTTTGGTTATATTTATAACATTAGCCGATCACTCTGACTATCATTTTCCGTGTATGATATCAACAGAATTTCACGACTATCACCACTTTAAGTATACGTTATTTTTTATTATTATTTAATCTCTCTCTCTCTCTCTCTTTCTCTCTCTCTCTAATTATAAATATTTATATATAAAAATTATTTTAAAAACTTTTATAACTAATAGATTCAATCAAAACTTCGGTTCAATTGGTCTATTGGATTGGATTCACGGCACTAACAATGAGTTTTATAAATCATTTGCCTATAAGAGAGATAGGATTTTCATGAGTTGTCAAACAATCAAACAGTTATATCCCGATGAAAGTCAAACTAATAATAATGATAAATATCATTAATTTGATATAAGTATAGCTGTTATATACTGTATTTTGTTTATTAACATTGATTATAAGTTATAACTATTATGACAATTTAAAAAAAAAAATATGACTAAAACTAGACTATCAATTATAAAATACAGTATTATTATTATTATTAAGTTTAGTTAATAATTTTAAAAACATCTAAATATAAATTGAATTTTAAGTAATAAAATAAAATCCAGATTAACATTTAATTAAATTTTCTGAAAAAAATGTATTAACATTAAACTATAGCTGATTAATTAAATATAATTTACAATATTAAAATAATTTAATATAAACTATTTATATATATGAATAGTAATATATAATAAAAACTATTATCAATTTAACAAAAATCTACTAAAAATAATTAGGATATAATTAGGGTACAATATTAGACTGATTTATAAATTAATATAATAATACCTGGGAAAACATAGGGAACATAGGGAACATAGGGAACATAGGGAACATAGGGAACATAGGGAACATAGGGAACATAGGGAACATAGGGAACATAGGGAACATAGGGAACATAGGGAACATAGGGAACATAGGGAACATAGGGAACATAGGGAACATAGGGAACATAGGGAACATAGGGAACATAGGGAACATAGGGAACATAGGGAACATAGGGAACATAGGGAACATAGGGAACATAGGGAACATAGGGAACATAGGGAACATAGGGAAAATGTATATATATATATTAAATCAGTCTAATATTGTATACTTTATTTGATTAATCAGATAATAGTTTATTACTTTATTGATAATAATAATAATAATAATAATACTGTATTTTTATAATTTAGAGTATAGATTTAGTCATAAATCTTTTTATTGTTATTATAGTTGTAATAATTGTTAATCAACAAAACATAGAGTACACACAGCAAATATAATTTTATCAAATTAATGATTTTTAACATTATTATTAGTATTATTAGTTTGACTTTCATCGGGATATAACTGTTTGATTGATTGGCAGCTCATGAAAACCCGGTGTCTCTTATAGGCCATTGATTTATAAAATTCATTGCCAGTGCCGTGAATCCAATCCAATAGACCAAACGCACCCAAGTTTTGAGTGAAACTTATTTATTAGTTATATATATATTGTTTTTAAAAATATAAATATTTATAATTAGAGAGAGAGAGAGAGAGAGAGAGAGAGAGAGAGAGAGAGAGAGAGAGAGAGAGAGAGAGAGATACTAAATAATTAATGTATACTTCAAGTGGTAATAGTAGTGATATTCCGTTGATATCATACACGGAAAATGATAGCCAGAGTGATCGGCTAGTGTTACAAATATAATAAACCCATACCATAACCATTGAGTTAATATATGTGATTTCATTAGAAATGGACCTAATTTTTTTTAAATAAAATTTTTTAATGAAATAAAAATCTTGATTAGTAGAAAACTAAATATCAGATAGATAATACATGAACTAGCACACCATGTATAGGTAACATGTAATAAAGAGAGAGTGAGAGAGAGCACAGTTACCCATAAACACTGGTATAGTATTGTTGAACATGAGTTCAATCGGATGACAGTAAAGCGAACTGATGGCTACCGGTGTCTGCCATCGATGATGGCGCTTATGTACCAAACGATAGAGTGGTCCGTAGTGTAGTAGTCGATGAGTATAGTATTGGAATATCTCCATAACAAACACAAAGACGATAAAATCGGCTACAATACGGGCCAGTGATGGCAACTGTCCTGTGGGAAACTGGCGCCACTCGAAAACACTGGATAACAAATAAAGTGATGGCACCATTACCAGTATCTGATTGAATAATACCTGTCCAATCAAATCTAGTAATACAGATTTCGATATCTATTTTGACACATTATGTTTAAAAAATAAATAATAAATTTTTATTATTAATATACTTGTATCTAAATAAAACTAATTGTAAACTCTACTTACAGGAGTATACGACTCCTGGATCTTGTATTTCAATAGAAAACCTGGTCGGCCGGTCATATCGACAAACAGATAGAATAGGCCAACTGTCCAATACATACAGTTGACTATAGCTAATGTACCGTAAAAAGTCATTGCAAACAAATTGTTATCAAACCATGTTGTTATCAATTGATCCCAACGGTATTGCAACCAATCGGCAAACATATTTGACAATTATTATAATATATATATATATACAGTAAATAAAGTTAATTATATTTATATTAAAAAATTATTATTAATGTTAAATAATAATTAACTTATTCTACTATATATTAATTACAGTACAAAATCTTCTTTATATTATAAAGAAAATATTGTAAAATCAATTTTATCAGACAATAGTTTATTTGGAATTAACTTGAATTAAGTTATATTGTATTTTTTTTAAAAAAAAATGTTTATTCAAGTAAAATATACTTATGTAATGTAGTTCACTGGAAAAAAAATTTATAATCATAAACATAACTAATAATTGATACTCATTTTAATTAAAAAAAAAAAATTTTTTTTAAAATCAGTAATCACTATATAGAGATTATAATTCATAATATATTTTTTGTGTGAAAATTCAAATCTTATACATAGTATATAAAGTATAGTATAATATAAAGTAAATTTTTAGTTAATAAAACAATTAACAATACATAGCAGCTAAAATTTTTATAAAATTAAAGATTTTTATTATTTATTTTTAACTTTATTATTATTATTATTACTAATATTTTGACTCTCATCGGGATATAATTGTTTGATTGATTGGCAGCTCATGAAAACCCGGTGTCTCTTATAGGCAATTGATTTGTAAAACTCATTGTTAGTGCCGTGAATCCAATCCAATAGACCAATCGTACCGAAGTTTTGATTGAATCTATTAGTAATAATATTTAGTTTTAAATATTTTTTAATTAGAGAGAGAGAGAGAGAGAATCTAAAAAAATTAAAATTAATGTATACTTCAAGTGGTGATAGTCGTGATATTCCGATGATATCATACACGGAAAATGATAGCCAGAGTGATGGGTGAGTGAGACAAATACAGCCGTCCCATACCATAACCATTGAATTAATATGTGTGAGTTCATCACAAATGGACCTTTTTAAAATAAAAATGAGAGAGAGATAGTGGCACAGTTACCCATAAACACTGGCATAATATTACTGAATACGTGTTCAATCGGATGACAGTAAAACGAACTTATGGCTACCGGTGCCTGCCATCGATGATCCTGTATCAAACGATAGAGTGGTCCGTAGTGGACAAGTCGGTGCGTATAGTAAAAGCCAATCTCGTTGACAGCCACAAAACCGATAAAATCGGCTACAATACGGGCCAGTGATGGTAACTGTCCGGTAGGAATCTGGCGCCACTCGAGAGCACGGGCTAACAAATAAAACAATGGCACCATTACCACTATCTGATTGAATAATACCTGTCCAATTAAATCTAGTAATACAGATTTCGATATCTATTTTGACACAATATGTTTACAAATAAATAATAAATTATTATTAATAATAATATACTTTAATATAAATAAAACTAATTGTAAACTCTACTTACGGGAGTATACGGCTCTTGGATCTTATATTTTATTAGAAAACCTGGTCGGCCGGTTATATCGACAAACAGGTAGAATAGGCCAACTGTCCAAAACATACAGTAGACGATACCTAATGTACCGTAAAAAGCCATTGCAAACAAATTGTTATCAAACCATGTTGTTATCAATAGATCCCAACGGTATTGCAACCAATCGGCAAACATGTTTGACAATTATTATAATATATAAAGTTAATTATATTATTATTAATATTATCAATGTTAACTAATAATTAACTTATTCAATTATATATTAATTACTATAAAAAATCTACTTTATATTTTTAAAGAAAATATCCTAAAATTATTGTAAAATCATTTTATTAGATAATAGTTTATTTGGAAATAACTAGAAGATTAAGTTAATTGTGTAATTTTTAAAAATATTTTATTCAAGTAAAATTTGTTTATGTAATGTAGTTTACTTGAGGAAAAAAACTTATTTTAAAACAAACTAAAATGAATTTTATAAAAAAAAATATAATAATATTTTTGTTTGTGTTTAAAAAATTATTAAACAATAGAAATCTTATTTATTATTATAATTATAAATATCCTAACCGCTAACCCCTTCCCTAACCTACTATATGAACCACGCCTAATAATTTATACTCATTTTAATTAAAATTCAATTTTTTATTTTAAAAAAACTGTAATCACTATTTACAGAGTATACTGTATAATATTTTTTTTTAGTATTTAGAAAATATTAATAATTTTAAATTTTATTTATATAATATATATTTATATATATATATAAATTATAATTATAAATATCCTAATTATTTTATATAGAATTTGTTAAATAGCATTTTTATAAATTATAATTTAAAATATAATATATATATATATATATTATAAATCAATCTAATATTGTATATTATATTTAATTAATCAGTTAATAGTTTTAATAATTTATTGATTATCCTTAATAATAATAATAATACTGTATTTTTGTCATTTAGTGTACAGTTTTAGTCATTATATTTATTTTTGTTATGTCATTACAGTTATTGATATTGTTAATAAAACAATATACAGTACATAGCAGCTATACTTTTTTTTAAATAAAATTAATGATATTTATTATTTATTTTTAACATTATTATTATTATTACTACTAATATTTTGACTCTCATCGGGATATAACTGTTTGATTGGTTGGCAGCTCATGAAAACCCGGTGTCTCTTATAGGCAATTGATTTGTAAAACTCATTGTTAGTGCCGTGAATCCAATCCAATAGACCAAACGTACCGAAGTTTTGATTGAATCTATTAGTTATAAAATTATTAATTAATTTTTTAAAATATTTTATAATTAGAGAGAGAGAGAAAAAAAACTAAATAATAAAAATTAATGTATACTTCAAGTGGTGATAGTCGTGATATTCCGATGATATCATACACGGAAAATGATAGCCAGAGTGATGGGCTAGTGTGACAAATATAACCGCCCCATACCATCCCCATTGAATGAATAGGTGTGAGCCCAACACAAATGGGCCTTCAAAAAAAAAAATCAAATCATGTTTAGTAGAAAAACTAAAAATTACATAATCTAGTACACATGAGCGCACCCACGTATACACGATTTTACTTAATAGAGTGATAGAGAGAGAGAGAGAGAGAGAGAGAGAGAGAGAGAGAGAGAGCACAGTTACCTATAAATACTGGCATAATATTGCTGATCACATGCTCTACCGGATGACAATAAAACGAACTCATGGCTACCGGTGCCTGCCATCGATGATGGCGCTTATGTATCAAACGATACAATGGTCCGTAGTGTAGTAGTCGATGTGTATAGTAGAAGCCAATCTCGTAGAGTACTAGATAGCCGATAGCTTCCGTTACAATACGGGCCAGTGATGGTAACTGTCCGGTAGGAAACTGGCGCCACTCCAAAGCACGGGCTAACAAATAAAACAATGGCAACATTACCACTGTCTGATTGTATACTACCTGTCCAATCATATCCATAAATTCAGATTTGGTCATCTGATTGTTGTATAGTACGATATTTATGATAATAATTAATTAATTATCTATTTCTATATATATTTCTATATATATATATATATATATATATATATATATATTAGAAACTATTTTTACTTACGGGAGTATACGGCTCCTGGATCTTGTATTTTAATAGAAAACTTGGTCGGCCGGTCGTATCGACAAACAGATAGAATAGGCCAACTGTCCAAAACATACAGTAGACTATAGCTAATGTACCGTAAAAATTCATAGCAAACAAATTGTTGCCAAACCATGTTGTTATCAATAGATCCCAACGGTATTGCAACCAATCGGCAAACATGTTTGACAATTATTATTAATTTATTTAATATGAAAATTAGATTTCAATTTATTATTAATATTATTATTTATGTTGAATAAAATAATCTTATTCTTTGACAAACAATAATAAAAATTTAATTAAATTAATTTTATTTAAAAACAACTTAATTTATAATATAAGAAAATATCAATTTAATTAAAAACAATAACAATATTATTATTATTGTAAAATCATGTTAGTAGACAATACTTTATTTTATTATTTTACTTTAAAAAAACAATGAATGAAAATTATTGATGTAATTTAAAATGTTTATACAAGTAAAATATGCTTATGTAGCATATTTAGACATATTATTCACTAAATAAAACTGTTTTTATTTTATTTTATATTATACTATTATATATATATATATGACAAATATATTATTTATTACAAATATATATATATTGAATATAACTGTATTATTAAGTAAACAATTTAATAGTTAATTAAAATTTAATTAGGATATAAACAACTGTAAAAATATTATTTTTTTTATATGGAAAATTATTTTATTGAAAAAAATAATAATTATTGTTAAATACAATATATTTACATCATATATATATATATATATATATATATATGTATATATATATATTGATCTATCAATACAATAATTTGATTATATTGTACATTATATTTATATATAAAAAACGCATTTTTATTGTTTTAGTTATAATAATTATATATATATATTTTTAATTAAATATAATAATATCTATGTCATAAAAATATAATATTAATTGTTTTATTTTAATACATAATATTTGACAATAATTGTTATGATGTAATAGTAGTCTAAATATAATATTGTTATAAATTCATGTAATAAAAAATGTATAACAATTTCCTTTTTTTTAAAAAAAAAAATATCATTTAACATTATAACAGGATAAATTATACAAAAAATAAATATTGAATTGATATTTATTTTTATTGAAAAATATAATAATTATCTAACAATTTAAATACATTAGATCAATGAACAATTAAATCAATAAATATATAGAAACTAACTGTAATTATTATAATTTATTTTTTTATGATTATAAAAAAATTAGATTTTTGTTACTGTAATGAAATATTTTAATTTTTATATAATTTTTTTCTAATAATATATTTATTTTTTATTATAAATCAAATCAAACTTTTCGAGTCCTAAAATTATAATTTATTTAATAATTAATTGATTTTTTTATCTAATTTATTATTAAGTTTACTATTGTTATCAATTTATTTTTTTTAAATAATTAAAAAAAAAACTAAGTTTAAATTTAATTTATTGAACAATTATGATAATACAGTATATCATGCATATATTTACATATAAACGATTTAATGTGAATTTTTTTTTTATTAATATTTATTAGAATATTTTTATGCTAATATTTTATACTAATTTATTTAAATATTAATTTTATTTATACATCATGTAATAAAATAAAATAAAAATAAACTTAGTTTTAACGTTTTACATATATGTTTATAGCTTGTTAGTTGTGTTTATAATATTTTTATATTTAATAAAAAATTATGTTATATTAAATAAACTATAACTAATATAGAAATAAAAAGTATTTTATATAACGTAAGTAGAAATTGATAAATTGTTTTATCTATATATTGATCTAATAAAATACTTAATAATATCAATTACAAGTTTATTAATATAAGTTAATTTATATAACATATTATAATGTTATACAATTACAATCATACATTTAGTTAATACAGTAAAAGACAAATACTATTTATGATAATATTATTATTTATTTATTTTTTATTACTACAATAGGGAATACAAATTATTTTGTTTGTCCAAAAAAAATCATTGCATTTTAAAATTTTTCATTATTTAAAATTATTCATTAGATATTTATATATGAAAATAATTAATATAATAAAATCATTAGATAATAACATTATTTATTTAACAACAAAAAAAACTAAAAACTTAAATTAAGGTGAAATCTTAATATTTTTTTTTAATTAAAAAAACATTAGTAGATTTGTATGAATTAAACTGATTTTGATTGTATTTGATAATCAATGTCTTTGACAATTTTACTAGACTATCGGTGACAGTCATTACTGATATACCAAACCATAGGCTAGCTATGCTGCCCAGGTAGATGAGAAACTCGACAAACTCGATACGCGGATGATACTGGGTTAGTTTAGCCGACTGGGACGGTGCCAATATAAGCAGCATATTTTCATAATCAATTGAACTGGGATTGTAGTAGTGATGGACACGTAGGTCATACTCCTCAAATCGGCAATCAATTTCAATGGGACATCGCCTGCGACATAACTGTGCCATCTGTCTATTGACCTGTTCATGTTGGATGTAATAATTTAGATTAAAATAATAGAAATGCTGGCGACTGCTAGTATTTCTGGTCAAAAATGAGCTAGGCCATAAATCACCGTGTGCTACAATTGCTATCTGGCTGTCCTTTTTGCACCTGTAGATACAATCCGATTGGGACTGATAGCCTATCGATCGGTAGTCGAAACAATTAGTTTCGTACGGTTTGGTCAGATATCTGACAACTTTCTTATGATAGGAAATCATATTGATCCAGTTGGGCCTGTAGCCTACCAGTGCACTTTGACGTAACAATTTCGGATCCTCCCTGGTCAGCAATTGTTCCCGCGGCCGTGCATATACAGTATACTGGCCCTGATCGATTTGTTAATAAATAATGCGGCTATATTGCCCTTTTACCGCCCATAAACTTTCTACTATTGTTATCGATAGTAAATAATTTACCATGCTCATCATCATTATCATCATCATCAGCATCAGTATTATTAGTCAACTGTTCCATAAATGTATAGCACATTGTATAGTAGTCCAATGATGGTTGAACCGGTACCAATCTATTACATGGCAGATATGTAGTAGTAAAATTTTTACCATTGTTAAGGGCATCGGGTGTTAAAACCAGACAACCGCCAAGTTTCGGAAATATTGAGTTATAGCCGTACATTGACTGTACCTGTTGTTCAATAGACAGCCGATAAAACAGTTCAAGTGTTGTACTATTGAACCGATCTTTTCGTCCGATAGAGTTGTTTGCAAGAAATTCATCTGATATTAGATACTGTTTCTCAATACATACGGTCAGCCCAGGTATGGATATCAGTCCCGAATTATCGTATGTTATAGATATCGATGTTTTGTATTGTAGATAATGATCCGAAACACAATATAATTGATACAAACACAATGGTATACATATAGAAATAGATACAAAAATATTTAGTTTTATATGATTTAGCAAATATTTTTTAATATCACTTAACATGATTGAATTTTATCATATATTAAATAAAATATCATTTTGAAAACGTTAGACTACTAAAAATTATATGTAATAAATTGAATTGTAAAATATATATATATATATATATAGAAATATTTTTTTTAATAGCTTACATGTAAACAAGATAATTAATATTATTTTTTAAATCATTATAATAAATAATATTTTGTTAAAACATAATATACTATAATACTGTAATAATTAGTATACTCTGGAGTCTAAGTTATATTCAACTATTATATTGAATTTATTTCACAAAAAAAATAATTAAATATAACATTTCAAGTTATTTTATTATTATTATATAATGTGACAATAAAAAAAAAGTTGTATAATAAAACAATTTTTGTTTAACTATTGTCTAAAAATAATTAACATTATTTGATATTTGTATAATAATTTATATAACAACTACACTATATTATACAATATATTCATTATAATATTTTTATTCAATATTAATATATATATATATATTTATTATACTAAATAAAAATTATTTATTTTTTATATAAACAACAATCATTAATATTTTTATTCATTGGATATATTAAACTAAAATAAAAATAATTTTAGTTTTAAACACATTATATGCTTTATAAACTTAGTTAAGTTTATAATATTTTTTATATTTAATAAAAATTAGCTTATAATAAATTTAAAAAATTCATAATTTTGTATATTAATCTAATAGTACTAATAATTAAATTTATTTTTTAATTTTATATTTTAAGTACTTTATATAACACAAGTAGAAATTGATAAATTATTTAGTTTTATATTATTATTATGATCTGGCAAATATTTTTTWTTAAAAATATTAATTACAAATAGATTACTATAAATTTAATTAAAACTTAATGTATATTATAAGTTATATTAAATGTATATATTTTAAAGTAAAATACAAATAATAGGTTTATTTATTTTATTTAATTATCACAATAAGGTATACAATTTAGTTTGTGTATCAAAAAACAAAAATCATTGTATTTTCAAAATAATTTTTACATTATTGTAGATTATTCATTAAATATTTATAATTTAGATTTTTTTTAAAAATCATTAGATTATTATTTTATTTTTAAAAAAAAAACTTAATTCAGTGATGAAATCTTATTATTTTTATTAGTAATAAAAAGATTTGTAGATTTGTTTGAATTCAATTGATTATTGAATTTAACAAACAATGTGTTTGAAAATTTTACGACACTATCGATGGCAGTCATAATTGACATACCGAACCATAGGCTAACTATGCTGCCCAGGTAGATGAGAAATTCGACAAACTCGATACGCGGATGATACTGGGTTAGCTTAGCCGATTGTGACGGTGCCAATATAAGGGCCATACTATCGTAATCAATTGAACTGGGCTGGTAGAACTGATGGACACGGATGTCATACTCTTCAAACTGGCAATCAATTTCAATGGGACACCGCCGACGACATACCAGTGCCAACTGTCTATTCACATCCTCATGAGTGACGTAATACAATAGATTAAAATAATATAAACGTTGCCGACTGCTAATATTTCTGGTCAAAAATACACCAGGCCATCTATCGTGTGCTACTAGTGCGATCAGGGTGTCCTGTTTGCACCGGTAGATACAGTCTGTTTGGGACTGATAGCCAATCGACCGGTAGTCGAAACAATTAGTTTCGTACGGTTTGATCAGATAGCGGACAATTTTCTTACGATAGGAAATCATATTGATCCAGTAGGGCCTGTAGGCTAACAGTGCA